TGCATGAGAAGGACCCCAGACAGGGCGACTATGGAAACTTCATCTGAGACACTTACAAATTTGACAATTGCTCAAGATATTGAATTTCATTTCAGCTAAATCAGCCCCAGCTTCTCTGACAGCACTGGCTTATATGCTGATATGGCCACATGGGAGCGGGACGGTGTGAACCCCTGGAGGAGCAGAGCTTTGGTGAAACACCCCCCACCTGCTTTGCCTGTCTCCCTTCTCCTGACAACAATTTCCTGCCTGACCCCAGTCTCTTGAGCATGAGAAGCTCTTAGGTGGGGCAGGAACCCGTCAGGGGAAGCCCAAAATGATCTGGCTGAAATGAAACAGCCAAGAAAGCCCTCATCATTCATTTTGTACTCGGCTGAAAGTTCTCCATTTGTGAGTCTGGAGAGAGGGGAGCTGGGAGAAGAATGGAGAGTGGCAGTGAGGGGTACCAGAAAGCTGTATCCTGAGAAAGCCAATGGTTCGCACTCCACCCTTCCTTCTACCAGTTAGATCCCAAACTTAGAAGAATTTAATTTAGTCTTTTTTTATGTCAGGACTTCAGTGAAAGAAAGGCAAGATCCCAGGGGATACCCATCATTGGTCCCGAGATTGTCTGTTACCCTAGAAATGACCTCAGGAGAGATGGTGGTGACTTCCTTCCCTCAGAGGGAGATCTTGGTCCTCAAGCGTCTCTTGGCCCTTGCTCACCATCTCACACACGCACACACTCCCCCTCGCCCACTCTGCCTCCCTCGCCCAGTAACTTTGATACGTTTCTCACGTGCCCCTCAGCCAATAAACAGGGTCTCCCATCTTCATCTTCCCTTTCAAAAAATGCTGTTTTTCTTCTCTCCCTCTCACCCTGTAGGTTATTGCAGCCGACTGCAAAAGGGTCACAGTGCTGAAGTATTTTCTGGAAGCCCTTTGTGGACAAGAAGAGCCTCTGCTGGCATTCAAGGGTGGAAAATATGTGTCAGTGGCACCCGTCCCAGACACCATGGGAAAGGAAATGGGAAGCCAAGAGGGAAAACAACTGGAAGATGAGGTACTATGCGGGAAGAGCCCGCTGTGGCAGAGGGAAGGCTCCCTTCCCCCCGCCCCCAGCCCTGCTCTGCCCGTGGCTTCAGCTTCTACCCCTGGTTATTTATAACCACTCAGAGCAGTGTCGATGTTAACGTAACCAGCCAACTTCTCAAGAGTGCACTCTGCTGGTGCCCCTTCCTGCCAGTCCCACCCCAGTGCCTCCATCTCACTCTGCTACGAGTTCCAGATGCTTCTTTTTAATGTTGCATTGGAGGAGAAGGGAGGGAAAGAAAGAGTTTAATAACGTGCAGCTCTGGAGGCTTAGGAAAGGCAGTGTGTGTGTGTGTGTGTGTGTGTGTTGGGGGGGGGCGGTGTTAGGGTTCAGGCTGAGGATCAAGTTTATAGATGTGTGGAGCTCAGTGCAGCACAGGCCTGAACTCCAGCCTCAAGCACACGTACAGGAAGAGCTGACATTGCTGGCCCCGTGTGGAAAATCACCCCCTCCCCCGGCCTGCCCTCCCTCCCTCATTCCCTCCCTCCCTCCCTCCTGCACATCCTGATGTGATTAAGGAACTCTCCTCTTGTTTGTTTGCCCTTGGTTGTTCCTGTAGCCCTTGCTTCACTCCAGACCATGCGCGCTTGTGTGCGCACGCGTGAGCCAGTGTACCCACCCCTGCTAAACCCCAATGGCAGTTGCTCTGCCATGCGTGTATATGTCTTTCTGAGGGTGATTGTTGCCATGGGTCTGTATGTGGTGAGCTTGTGTGTCAGTGTAAGTTGAACACTGCTGTCAGCTTCCCTGCTGTCTGTGGGTTCCGAGTAAATGTGAGTATGTGACGGTGTCGGTGCATGTATGTGTTTAATATCACTGCCAGCTGCCCTGCTGTATGTCTGGGTGTGGGTAACTCTGTCTGGGTGTGTGTGCGCACACGGCTCACTTCTGCCTGATGGTTGATTCTTTCCTCCTTTTTACCCCACAGTGTTAAAGACAGAGGGGCCTTAGGTGGGAAGGAACGTGGGACTTAAGGAAGGGACGGAAGCGATTCTAGCCAGAGGCCAGGTCACCCGTAGGCCAACACAGTCATTTGGCCCGCAGCAGTCTCCAGCGCCTGGTGGAGCAGGGTGGGGTGCAGGGATGAAATCAGCAACAGGCCAGGGAAGCCAGATGTCAGCTGGAAGCTGTCGTTTGTGATCTGAAGCAGTGATAGAGTGGCCACCTTCAGTTCAGAGTCTTCAGAGCAGCCCAGTCTTGGACTGGCTTCATTAGAATAGCTGGAGAACCCCACCCCACCCCTGATGACACAGGGCTTAGCTTCCAGGACAGAGGTGGTTCCAGGGATAAAGCTGAGCAAGCCCATGATTCCAGACTCTTCAGATGAAACCTGGGCAGAGAATAATGGGAAAGAATGAGCTGGCAGCATGGGAGGAGACAGTGGGCTTGCTAAAGCCATCGGTGGGCGTCCAGGCTTCCAACAGGGCAGGGCAGTGCCACCCAAGCCCTGGGTACTGTGTAGGGAAGCATGGGTGGGGCAGCGCCTCAGTCAGTTATCTCACCCACACATTAAGGCTGAGGCAAGCAATGGAAGGTCAGCAAGTCTAGCTCTCCAGGATTGCCATAAGAGATGTCCTCTGGCCAGTGGAGCTTACGATGCCAAATCCAGTTAGGCAAGTGAGGCCCAGAGAGAGGGCCTCAGTGTAAAAGCCAAGGAGGGGTTCTTACACTCTTACAAAGAACAGACCAGCTCTCCGGTCCCAGATCATGGCTGTGCAACACCCTCTCTCTCCTTCTAAGTCTTATTGACCAGACAAAGGTTGTGACCCATGCCACACTGCCCACTTCTTCCTTTTCCCACGAGCCTCCTGGGTTCCTTTATATTAGTGGCCCCTGGGAAACCCTCCTTACCCTGGTCTGTGTAATTTCATAACCCTACACTTCCTCGTTTGCTGTGAGAGCTGAGCGAACCTCAGACAAGCTTCACTGACCTTCTTTTGACCTCAGTCAAGCTCATTCCAAGCCCCGTGATAACCTGGTGTGTCCCCGATCAGAGCAGGCAGAGGCAGTGTTCCTCCACAGGCCAGTCAGGCATCCTACTCCACCCACTCCAGCCCAGGTTAACCCCACGAACAAGGAAGTAAATGAGTAGAGTCTTCCTCCTTCCCATGGCCTGGGCCTCTCTGAATGTGAACCCTGTGACAGAGTAGTCTGCAGGTGGTCATATGAGTGGTGACTGCAGACAGTCCCCCAGGCCCCTGAGACCTCTTAGGATAGCGGCACTTCTGGCCGCATCCTGAGATCTCATCTCTCCCCAAACTTCCAGACTGAGTCTCTTAAGCTGATGGGAGAGAAGAGGGATATGTTTCTTCAGACCTCATTCCTCATGAAGAAAACAGAGCCTGGCTCCTTAGGGGGACTACCGAGACACCTAGATTCTGCTCCCAAGACACAGCATCACCCACCACCCACACACCTTACCAACCACTTGCAGCCAAGAGAGTCTATCGGAATATCATCTTGAGATGGACAGTTAGAGGAGAGAGCAGTCTGTATCCAACAGATCCTGGGTGCACCTATGGGAGGTTTGGCGAAGCTGAGCCACTAAGGGATGGGTCTGGGCTTACCGTCTAGATTCAGGACCCCAGCCCGTGCTGCTCAGTATTATTGGTAAGAGCACAGACTTTAGAGCTGGACTCACTAGCGTTCGTTCAAATCCCTGCTCTGCCACTTACTAGCTTTGTGACCTTGAGCAAATTGTTTAACTCTAAATCTTAGTTTGTTCATTTATAAAATAGGTATGATAATAGCGTCTGTTCCATAGGCTGTTGTGAGTATTAAATATTTGAGTTAATACGTAAAAAACACTTAGCCCAGTCCTTGGCCAATACTCAGCTCTCAGTAAATGGTAACCATTATTGTCATAATCATTGACATTATTATCATCCAGTTAGAAACACAGGGATCCTCTCCTCCTACATCACTCCCTATTACCCATTCTAACCCTGTCCCTCAAAGGAAGCTCTCTTGTAGAGAAGCGTTTCTGATAGAGAAGCTTCTCCAGTAGAGAAGCAGCTGCATGTTCTCTACTGACCAAGGCCAAAAGTGAGAGATGAGGAATGGAGCCTGGGACCACCCGGGGTGCAGTGGCTTCTGAGAGCTGAGGCTGTGAGCAGGGAGGTGCCATCCCTGGGGAAGGCGCCACCAGCCTGGCAGGAGACCCCCTAAGGGAGCCTGCTATCTCCTAGCCTGCCCAGGCCCCAGAAGGGCAGCTGAGCAAGGTCATGTCATGTGAATTCCTATAGGGGGCCCAGCAGCCCTGATACCGCCAAGCTGTGGTCTTAAAAAGAAACCAGGGCAAGGTCTGCTGAGCTAGAGCATCTGCTCCCTGATGCTGTCTAGGGCAGGGGAGCTACCACGCCTAACTCGCAGCTGTTGGCCAGAATTGATTCCTATCAGATCATTAGCATGAATTAGGTTTTAACTGGGTGGTTTAACTTTGTTGATTTCCTTTTGGTGATTTCAAAATTAAAATAGGCCCAAAGTTTGACTTTGTGAGTGTGTGCGAAGGAGAATGAAGAGCTGTGAGTGTAAGCATAGAAGTGTATGTGTGTGTGTTAGTGACTTGTGGTATGGATCTGTGATTATGGGATTCGAAAAGAGCCTTAGAGTGCAAAAGGGAGTGACAGCTTCTCTTTACCCCCGCACACCTTGGGGCCCTTTCAAGGAATGGTCCTAATAAGCATGGAGTGGGGGTGCCGGAACGATAGAAGGGTGGGTCTGGTAAGTGCTGTGGGCTCACAGTCTCCTCTCTTCCCTGGACTGCCCAAAAGGAGGAGGACGTGGTGATTGAAGACTTTGAAGACGATTCAGAGGCTGAAGGCAGCGGGGGCGAGGATGACATCAAGGAGCTTCGGGCCAAGAAGCTGGCTCTGGCCAGGAAGATAGCCGAGCAGCAGCGTCGCCAAGAAAAGATCCAGGTGGGGTCTGCTGGGGGGTGGTTCTCATCAGGGTGGTGCTGTACACGGCAGGAATGAGGTGTGCTGGGAGCTGGGATGAGCAGGACCCTCTGAGGAGGAGGACCCTCTCAGAGTGTTCTGCCTGGCTCGACCCTCGTTTTCTTTATCCATCACAAAATTCTGGTAGTACTTTGGTGCCTGGAGGCCCCCTCCTCCTGGGCTCCAAGGGGCAGGAGCAGGTTCTTCTCAGAGAATCCAACGGAAGCTTCTCCCCCAGCGATGATCTGTGAATACACACCACACATGCATGATCTTCCACACAATTTCAGGAGTTTCAAAGTGCCCCTGAACCTTATCCAGACACTCCCAGAGAGGCCAGGATTCTGTGTTGAAAACACCTGTTGTCGGGAGACGATGTCATGGCCACAGTCTGTTTATCTGGATTCCCAGTGTAATGGCCGGTCCCCTCTGCAGGACACTCTTAACCCTCCCAGAGAGAAACTACTTGATCTCCACACGAGGGCTCCCCCACCATCTGCACTCTCGTGGATCCATACCTCCACTTGCAGCAAGTTTTTCTTTATGGCACTCCCAGGTCTGCCTTCTTGCACTATAAGCTCACTTCCTCTTATCTAGGGCTCAAGGCAGATAGAGGAGAACCAGTCACGTTCCTTCGTTTAACTGTGTGCATGGGGAAGCCTCTTTAGCAGTGTCTGTTTTCATCTCTCTCTTCAGCTACCCCTTACCTTTGGCAGAGGCCTCAGTGCATGTGGTCGGGCAGACCTGATCACAGTCTGGGCTCCACCACTTACTAGCTTTGTGACTTTGGGCAGATTGCTTGATTTCTCAGAGCATGTTTCCTCTTCTGTAAAATTAAAGTGGTAACAGCACCTACCTCTTAGAATTGCTGTGAGGCCCACAGAAGCTGGCTCATGTAAAACACTTAGCACAGTGCATGGCACACAGTATCTGCTCCATAAATGGTCACTGTCGTCTGAGATCAGTCTAATCGCCCATCAGACAGAGCCCTGCCTGGGAAGAGAATATATAGCAGTTGGGAGCCATCATTCTTTAGACATATTCATGTCCCCTTGCATACTGGAATCAAGTATGTGATACCTCTGCCCACGTCGTCCACTGTGGTATGGCTGCCTCCTCAGCCCTCTGTGGTCTGTGTATGATTCTGCTGTGGTCCAAAAAGCAGCTTCATCCTCACACTGTCTTTCCTCCTATCCTGTGGCTCTTCATATTTTTTTTTTTTTTTTTACTATCAGTCTTCTCATAAGTTCTGTCTGTGCTCACAACCTCCATTTCTTGACTATCAACCCAGCAAGTACCTGTCTTTATCAGGCCGTGGCCCCCATTGTAGTTGACTTATCTGTAGCTTTGGACCCTGAAGCAGCCTCCTTCCAGCCTCACTTCAGCACAAGTGGACCCTTGTTTTCTCTTTCTGTTGACATAGGCTTCCTCACCAACATTCTTTTCTTGGTCTCTTCCTTTTCTCTCTTATTTCTTAGTCTCAGCACATAGTTGGCGCTCGGCACATATTTGTTCAGTGACCTAATAGATGGTAGGAACTAGAGCATCACCTTAAATCCTCACTGGTTGCTGATTCTTTATCTGATTCGGGTCTGATTCTTTATCAAACCTATCTGTTCACTCATTCAAATTCCCTTCTCTCCTCTCTATTCCCATTGCCACTACTGCTACTCTAGTCCAGGGACTGATTTGGATTATAATAGTGAAGACATCTGCTTTGCACAACTCCAGGGGGTGTCATTGACCTTGTAGTCTGTGAATGGCACCTCCTAGAATTGTGCAGTACACAGTCTGCATGGGGGGCTCACTGCCTCCAGTGCACCTTACATGTTTTCATCATTCTCTTTCCAAAAGAGCCACTCCCCTGCTCAGAAATCATCAGTGCGTTTGCTTGGCTGATTATAATAAAGTCTAATTCCTTATTGTGGCATTAAAGGTTTTCTCATGTGTTCCCAACCTCTTCTCCCATCTCCTATGAGCCCTTACTAGCTAAATGACATTGTGCAAATTATTTAACTTCTCTGAGTGTCTTTCCTCACCTATAAAATTAAAGTTGGAACAGCACGAACCTCATCCTTCAGAAAGACAGTGCATGTAAAGTGCCTGTCCAGACCCAGGCCCTCCTGCCTGGGCAGCAGCCCTGCTCTTCTCCTGACACACTGTCCCCACACATGCTCTGCCCTTCCCCACTCTCACGTCTTTGTTTATGCTGTTCCGCAAACCGAGTACCCTTTTTTTCTGCTCCACATTTCCTGTTACCTGTTTAAATTCTATTCCTCCTTCAGTCCCCAGATGAAACTCCATCTCCCCAGTGAAGCCTTCCCTGATTTCCCCCAGGAGGAATTAATCTCTCTCTGCTCAGTGTTCCTGTAGCACTGATTTATACTTCATGTGTGAAACTTATATCACGTCTCGTATTACACTTCTTTCTGGGCTTGTTCCCTGCTGTACTGTGAACTCCTTGGAATCAGGTACCCTGTCTTCAGTTCAGTTGAGTAAGTGGTGGTGAGCATCTGCTATGCTAGTAGTGGTCAGCAGACACAGGAGTGAACAAAACGTCCCATCCCAAAGGGGAGTGGAGTGGAGAACCCAGTGATGTGAAGTGTGACAGAGTGTTGTTACAAAAGGGAAGGATGGGATGCTGTGGGAGCACATGCCGCAAGTGCATGGCCTTGCCTAGGGCGCCGTGTTCCGCCCGGCCTCTCCAGCAATAAGCAGTACCTTACAAATAGGAGGCCTTGTATGAGGCTGGACTTGTGGTGCCGGCGGCTGCCCCTGTCCAGAGCCTGATCTCCCCGTCACCTCCTTTAGAGCAGGCTGCTCGGGCCCAGGGCCTGCTGTGGGCTGGCTGTGGCTGGGGTTGCTGTGGCCCCTTTAAGAATAGGCCCCACATGAACTGCTGCTGGCGGCCCTGCCTCCTGTCAGCCTTCTTCCTCCAGCCTCACAGCCACAGGAGGATTTCTCAGCAGAGGAAAAATTCCCCCCTTCCCTTATCCCCCTCCCCCCCTTTAATGCCCGGGGCCCTTCACTTCCATAATTCTTCATTTTCCAGCCTTGAACGTAAGCCAGACACATCTGTCTGGCCATATGCGTGAACCCTGGAGTCTGTGCCGAGGTGGCTGTAAAACAGGGCCGGTGAAGGCCCTTCTGGGAGAGCACACACATGTGTGTGCCCTCGGGCCATTGGCTCCCTGCCCAGAACCACGGGGCTGCAGTGCTCCAAGCCTATGTTAACCTTTTCTTATTTTTCCTCTTTTTGTTTAATTTAAGGGGGGAAAATCCCAAGGAAAAGGTATAAATTGTCCTGGGAGTGGGGGAGAGGCTCCTAACTAGAGAGGCCATTATTGTTGGCAGGTACTTGGGTCACACTAATACAATAAGGAAGAGAAGAGCATCGAGTGAATTAAGATCGGAGAGATGGGCTGTAAATTACACAGCTCTGAACTCCATCAGTCTCCAGGGGTGTTAACCGAGAGGTGTAAGGCAAGTCCCCAGTTCCCAGCGCCTTTTACAGATGCAGCAAAACAGGAACCACACATGTTTGGGGAAGGGGATATGAAGATGGGGTTGAAAAAAATCCTCCTGGCCCCCATGATGGCTATAAAGTCCAACTGAGATTTTGAGCTATAGCCACACCCCCACTTCCCTGCTCACACCTAGACCCCTGGGCCCAAGCTCATCTGTGGGGCTGGGGGAGGTGAGGCCTGGCCTCCCTCCGCAGCCTGTCCTTCCCTGTTTCCGGCGTTGCACAGGGGCTGGTGAGTGGGGCCGACTGGAGGTCAGAAAAGGGGTGTGGGCAGCTCTCAGGAACTGTGCAGCTGGAGCCCCAGCTCCCAGGCAGGCCTCTGGATGCTGGGGGGTCAAGTCGGCCCACCTGGGGCTTTGAGGCCACACTCTCCTAGGCTTTGCCTGTTGTTTGAGACAGATGTCTTCATATTGGGTTGGTTCTTCCCACCTTGCTACTTTCCACCTGAGTTCGTTTCATTCCCATTGCCATTATTGGGAGGTGTCCAGAGACCACAGCAGGGTGCATGGTTTGTCTGGGAAATTGGTCTGAAGTGTTTCATTCCTAACTAGACCCCCAGGGCAAAGCAGTCACTGAAAATCCTCCTCCAGGCATGAGGCGTGGCCTCTTGGCACCTCAAACTGGCCCTGTGATTCCCCCGCCTCCTCTCTGCCTCCACGAGGCTTTGCTGTGATTTGTGCTGCTGTCGGGCGGGGTCAGGTTTCCTGAGCAGTTGCAAACATCCCACCTGAAACATAACAGGCTCTTCCTCTGGCCACAGCTATTGTTTCCCTCACATTATGGCCACAGTCTTGCTCTGTAGCCAGCAATGACATGTGTTCTGAAAATAGCTTCTCTCCGCTGTCCCCTTCCCGCCCACCCACCCTCCTGAAGATGCAGTCACTCCTTTGTGGTGGCCCCAGGAGTTTCACTCTAAATATAGCTTCAGCCCATTCACGCTGCCACCCAGCTGGGGGGGAGGAGGGGGATGGGGGGGCACTGTGGAACAATAGGGCATGCACAGAGCCCCCCACACCTGTATGGAAGCTAGCGGAAGGCAGACACTCAGCCCTGGCTCCTAGCTGTCGGAGGCGGGTGGGAGCCAGCGGGCTACCAGGCCAGGGGCACGTTCACGCCAGGGCAGGAAAGCACATCAGCCTACAGAGCCGGGCAACTGCCCTCCCCACGCAGACTGGTTCCAGAGTCTGTTCCAGCTTTTCCACAAACTGTGGCTCTGTGCCCCCAGTTTGGTCCAGGCTCTCTCACCTCCCTGGCTCCAGCAGCATCCATAAGGTCCTGTTCTCTTACAGAATGGTCAGGCTGTTGTTTGGCTCAAGTTCAGAGGTACCATGTTTAGCCCCGCCACTCCTCTCCATCAAGAAAGGGTACACTTCTTGTGCATTCTCAGAACAAGAGTTATCAGATGAAATTCAATCAGATTATCTTTAAAGTGCCCTTCAGCCCTGAGATTCAGTGATTTAGCTCATTGAGCTCCTATGACATACCAAGCTTTATGCTGGACATTATAAAAGAAACTCTAAGAAAAGGCGGTTCTCCTTGAGCTCCTTAAGTCTATTTTGAAACTAAGATCAGTCCTTATAAAACAGTAAGAAGTAGCAAGCAAGCCATCATATATATAAAAAGAAAGCAAGTATATGTTAAGCTGTGTGGCATTGACTTTGGACATCCAGAGAAGGGATCCTAAGCAGAAACTTGCCCACGAGGAGCCCACCCCAAATGAAGATGCTAACCGTGCTGCTCCCAGAGGAGGCTGGTTGGCTGCGCCTGCTTTCTATAGCAAATGCAGTATCTGCTCCCTTTGGTCTTTGTAGCTCAAGAAGGAACTGCCTCCTGTGCTGTTGGTGGCTATCTTACGAACTATTCCTATTTTTTATTTCATTTCCATTTTCCTATTTTTCATCTTCAAAAAGTACCCCCACGTAGTTAAAACAACGAAAGTACCACGAATCTTACAGCAGAAATCCCCAGTCCTCTCTGCCTGGCTCCTCCCCATCTCCAACTCTGCTCCCTAGTGGTTTCCCCAGATATTTACCCTCCGGGATATATAGAGATGAAAAATGGAGCTGGGCAGGGAAAAAGGAAACTGACGTTTGTTAAGTTACTATTATGTGTATCAGGCACTTAACCAGATACTTTCACATACAAGGTGAGCATGGAAATTTTCTGTGTTAACAAAACTTCCCATGTCTGGTGAAGACATTGCTCGGGCCAGAGAGGCCCAGGGATAAATGATTCTATCACTCTACAGAGGGAAGGAAGCAGCCACACTCTCTGTGGAGCCCTAAGCAGAAGGAAGACCTAACTAAGAAGGCCTTCTTATGATCTGGCTCTGCTTTGTGATCTGAGTTTTTCAAGTTCCATAACTCCTGTGTGAGCTAATTACATTGCCTTTATTTATAATTCTCAGTGTCTCAATTTTCAGTGGGTTAGCATCCCCAAACCATCCCTACTGTCGAGAAGAAGGAATTTAACCTGTAAAAGAGCCCTTCCTGGGGACCCAAGGCTGTTAGCTTCCTCGTCAGATGGTATTGTGGATTATCTCTTTCTCAGCACCCCACCAGCTTGCTCAAGGATGCTCCCATACTTCAGAGAAAATTATTTAGCACCTTCTGGAAACAGAATTAAGTTCTTCTTCTCTTCCACACTTTATGACAACTTGGTCCTTATTGCCACTGATCTGATTCAAAGTGTCTGTGCTTGCCTTGATTTCCCAGTTCACTGTCCTAGGACCACTACAGCCCAATCTTAGCTGCAGTGAGAAGGGTTCCTATGAAACTCTCCTTCCGGGTCAGCACACTTGATTCCAGGCCAGAACCAGTCTGTCTGAATCACAGCATTCCAGTTGCGCCCCCCTCACCCCCACCAGAGGCTTCTGCAGCTTTTTACTCATACAAACAAAAATAAATCTCACTACCGGCCTCTGAACTCCACAGCAGCGTGCTTCCCCCTTCTCCCCAAGCGTCCCATGGCTGTGAGTGGGGACTTGGCACTCTCCCCACCGACATCACTTTTTCACTCCCTGCGCATCCTGTGTCCTTCTCTCACCGTGCGACCCAGAGATCGGAATGGGACGTGACGGCCGGCACAGGCGCCGTGCACAGCTGCCAGGAATCTGACGGGTAAAATCTGGAAAAGTTGGGAGGGCAAATGCTAAACACACACACACACACACACACACACACACACACACACAGCGCCACTCAGAGGGCCGGAAACACAGACACCCACAGAAGAGGGCCTGCAGACTCCTTGTCCTTCCTCAGTCTGCCATTCTTTTGAAGGGGACTGAGCCGGTCTCGTGACTCAGGTATGACCCCCGCCCCAGAGGCCCACAGGTACCCCAGGAAAAGAGGTAACAGCTTCAGTTAATCTCCTGAGACTCTGTGAGGGCATGTGGGGAACAGGAAGCAGTTGTGTGGTGACTCACTGGGCAGAGCCAGGTTAAGGGAAGTTGTCTGCGGGTGTCCCTGGGACCGGATGATGGCAGCACAGTTCTGACCACCCTCATACAGCTTGACCCCACCCCACCCCTGGGGAACCAACAAGGCTGCTACCTTCCTAAGAGGCTGTGGCCTCTGTTCACCTTTCTGGCCCTGAGCCAGAGCTCAAGGAACTCAGCTTCCCTGGACCCTGCTCCTAGATTTTTCTTTCGTCCTGTCATCAGAACACACACGTAGGCCCCCAGCCTCCCTTGGCCACCTGGCTTAAAAGCCCTTCTGCCTGCTGCCAGCTGTAAAGGTAGAACGGTATAAGGTCTTAGGAGCTCGTTCACACATGGGCAGAAATGGCAGCCAGTTCCACTTCCTTAGAGTCAAACCAGGGCTGGAGTGTCATTTCTGGAGGCAGGAAAACTGAGATGTGAAAGGAGTCAGTGGGGCCGTGGTATAGATGAGATGCTCAGTTAGGACCCCGAGCCCCTGTCACCACAGGTGCCAGTGCCGCCTCTCCTTCCCCCACCAGTATCAGTGCTTGTTCTGTTCCCTCTCACCCAGAAAGAGATTTGGAGGCCTGTGATACCAGGAAAAATGTTCCTGGGAGTGGAAAGGCTGGATAGAGAACACCCAAAAGCTGGGAAAATGAAGAATAGAAACGCTAATGCTCCCTCAGTGCGAAGAGAAATAGTAGAGAGTTGTTAACTGAACCTGAGTGGGGACTGTGCCGTTCTTACAAAAGGCCCAAGCCGTTATGCAATGTTATATGTCAGTTGTATCGCAATAAAAAAAAAAAATTTTAAGTGCCCAAGTTGAGTTTGGTGGAATGTGTGTCACCCTCTAGTTGGCAGCCCCATGGGGAGGGACCGTGACCCAAATTCCCTGGGAAGGTGGCCAGCAGCCGTGGCACTTTCCCCAAATGAGGTGAGAGCAATAGGAAGACCAGCAGACTGGGCCTCTCAGCTGCGTTTTCTCATGCCTGCCAGCGTCTTGAGGGCTGTGCCTTCCACCAGCTGTGGTGGCAGTGGCAGCAACGACTTACTCATAGGGAGAGGTCCCCAGCAGGTCACAGAGAAGCCACCCCCAGCATTCAAAGGCATGCCCTTTCAGTTTTACTGTCACTGCCAGTGAAACCTGAGCACCTTCCTCACTGACTGTTAGTGGCCAGGACGCAGCACTGTGGGCCCCACTGACTTGGCACGCACATCTGCTCCCCTTGCTCTGTGCCTGTGCCTGTCCCTGTCAGTTGGTGTATGGTAGAAGGCCATGAGAGGGCGTGACAGGGCTGAGACCTGTTCACCTGGCCCTTGCAAAGTCTGTGTCAGTGCCCTCCAGCTCTTTACGTGGGGAGCACGCCATCTGGGCAGATGCCAGCAAATCAGTTTGCCTCTCAGCCATGGCCCCCAGAAGAGGAAGCAGCACAATAGTGACCTTGCTCTGTAGTGACAGGCATACCCAGAGCTGCTGCCACACATCAGGCTCTGTCAGACTGGAGAAAATCGGGCTTTCCCAGACGTACACAAAGCTTCCCAGAAATGAGAACTGCCATTACGACCAACAAGCATGAGGCCGTGTGCTTTCCAAAGTGTGGTGCGCAGACCTCTGGTGCCACACGAGGTGGGTTTTTAGTGATGCACAGGAGACACTTCGACTGTTTGTTATGGAATTTAATTTGCACTAGTAAACATGACCTGACTGTCAGACCCTTGCTACCATGGATGTCATTGCTTAAGAAGAGGCTAAGCAAAAAATGAGTTGACTTAAAGTCAATGCAAAGGAAAACCGCAAGTAAATAATAGTATAGATTGTACAGAGCTGTGGCAGAGGTGTGTGAGTAGAACACAAAAGACTAACAGTTAGGAAACACTGTACTGGTCGGTGGGGGGAAGGTGGCGATTTTGATCAGTCTGAGTATATTAACTTTGCAAAACTGCGAATTGGTTCCTAATCCATCACACCTATGGACTCTAGCTGCTGTGGGAATCTTTGGTATTATTAGTTGTCAGCATCACTATTTTTGTAGAGCCTTCAAGTTTAACTTCTTGGTTTTTAACTACACAGTGATGTACATTGAAACACAAATTCTGTTTGGGATAGGAATATATCCCAAACAGAATTTCATATATATATGAAGTTTCTGGATTGAGAAGTACCTGCCTAGATCACATATGTGAAACCACTTTCATATCCAAGGAATCTAATTCACCCTTGTAGATCTTTAGCCCAAGGTCTTACTTTCAGAGACCTGTTATTTTTAATATCATCAGGTCTTTTCTCAGCCCTAGGCAAGGTTTTAGTCACACTCCATTCCCCGGGCCATTTGGTCTATGTTGATTTGTATTGCAGCACTTTGCCCTGCCTTTGGGCCTGCCCCTCGGGCATGACAAGGGCTGGCTGTGCCTCTGGAGGGAGAAGAGGCTCAGGGGGCAGGATGCTGACACACTGTGGAGTCAGGGCCCTGGCTCACCCACCCGCTTGCCTGCTCACTCTTTGGCTCACTCACCGTTCCTTCTGTGTCCCTGTAGGCTGTCCTGGAGGACCAGAGTCAGATGAGGCAGATGGAGCTCGAGATCAGACCTTTGTTCCTCGTACCAGACACCAATGGCTTCATTGACCACCTGGCCAGTCTGGCACGGCTTCTGGAGAGCAGGAAGTACATCCTGGTGGTGCCCCTCATCGGTGAGTCAGGCCAGAGCAGCCCTGCACGTGCACAACAGCCCCCACTACACACATCCCCCAGCCCAGAGGCCAGGCAGGCAGAGCCCTGCTGTGTGTGTAAGACAGGATTTGCAGGGAAGTAGGGAATGTGTGGGGCAGGGAAAATTGTTTAATAATCAAAGCAGTTCAAATTATTATGGCTGATCCATGGCTTAAACTGCTTGAGCAAATGGACTCCTGTGTCCCAGCAACCAGAGGCTGCATGAGCCCAGCCCTTGTTTTTATCCTTATAAAGCTTGCAGTAAAACAGCAAAGCTGGTTCCCGTTATTGGTAAACACTCAACCCTGGCAGATAACGGCAGTGCTGCTGGGTGGTCTGGCAGGGAGGCTGGGAGGATTTTGAAGTGGTTAGATGCCTTTGGTCTGATTGTCTTGTAGCTTTTCATGATCATTCGAGGTAGCATTCTTCTGGCCAATGTCACCCTAACGCCAGGCCAACAGAAACCCTCCAGGGCAAGCCCTTGGCTCATGCCCGTGGATTCCTGCCACTTGGGCCCTTACCACTGTCTGGTCATTGGTGCTGGTACAGGGTCAGCATCTCAGGACCCAGCTAGCTTGCTTCCTCCCTCAAGCCAGAAGAGCCCAGCTGTGCTATCTCCAGGGGACTGTCTAGGTACTGTTAGTTCTTGGAGCTCTGTGGTGGGTCACCCTCAGGATGGGCTTAGGACTCTGGGCTCCTGTCTGATCTAGTTGGTACTGCTAATATAGCTGAGGACTGTTCCGTGGAGGGAGAGGGTCTGGGAGATGATTGGGAAGCCCAGGCTTTTTAATGTCCCCTTGTCAGCAGCCACTTGGAGCAATATGGGAGCCCTGTTCTCTGGAAAAGCCACCAGACTGGCAGTCTGCCTGCCAAGCCACCTCTGACATCCATGCCAAGATGTTCCATTGGGCCTTCCCTCCCAGTCCCAAGTGTCTTAGTGCCAGATGAGGGTGGAAACAAAGGGCAGGAAACATCCGCCCCTGCAGAGGCTATAGAACCCTGGGGGGTTGTGGGAAACACGTTAGCACCACCTGAGAATGTTGGCACTGAAGCAGCCCTCGTCCCGCCTCCACCCTCCCTGTCTTCCTTCCCCCTCCCCATGTGGCCTGGCCAGAACCTCTTAAACCCAGGCTCTTAGACCTGAGAGAAGGTTTTCTGTTCTTCAAAAGTAGAGCAGCTTTTCTCCCCACAGCAGAGCAGCAAGTCCATCAAATTGTCCCGACTTCCCCTCTTCCCTCCCCTGGGTCCTGGGGTGGGGCGGCTTTCAAGATCATTTCTCTGTGCTTTCCTACCCAGGAGATTTCAGGGGAAAGAAAGTGAATTGGTCGCTTTTTTGCTAATGGTAAGGAAATGGTATAACTGAAAGAGATGGCATCTCAGAAGCCCCCTAAGACTTTGAAGGAGCCTCCAACACTATGCCTGGCTAGCAGGGTTCTTGTGCCCCTACTGTGTGCACAGTTTCCTTGTTCCTGGGGGTCCAGTGAAAGGTAGAGTTGCAGCCCTTGGTCTTGAGGAGCTTATGGTTCAGTGAAGACAGCCAGATTTAGTGGAGAGGAAGCAAATATATGATAAAATCCTGAGGATATATGCCAAATAAATCGATGACCCCCAGGGGCGTTGGGAAATGACAACTGTTAAAGCAGTTCAGGCCGGCCTCTTTAAACCTTTTTCAGTTGGGCAGGGCCCTCGGCTCTCAGGAGCTGTAGAAAGGGCTCCTGTTTAATGAGGCTCCCTCAGTGCCCTGCCCTATGTCCAGAGCGCAAACAGTTAAGCCATCCGCCTTCCCTGCTTGTTCTTGTGCTCTTTAACCTGCTCCATGCTCCTTAGGCCTGACCCCAGCATCAAGAAGCCCCGCCTGGTGCAGAAGCACAAACAAGCTTCCCCTTTGAAGCCTGTTTAGTTTGGAAGCAGGAGAGCAGATTTTGGGATGGAATACCAGTTTTTTGTGTTTGATGTTCTGTTTGCTGTACCATGTACCCATCCACCACTATTCCCCAACCTAAGCATACATTGTGTGGACATGGTGGCCTATCATTGCTGAAAGCATGGGTGTCGCGCGCACACGTGTGTGTGTGTGTGTGTGTGTGTGTGTGTGTGTGTGTGTGTGTGCATGCGCGTTCGTGTTCCCACATGGGCCCTTTCCAGAAAGTGTCTCTGAATACCCAGACAGTGAGTGCCAGGCTCACCATGGAACAGCATGCTCATGCCGATTCCCCAAGCCATGAATCATTGCACTGAGGAGAGGCCTCAGACCCCAAACTCTCCCGGAGCCCCCAAGGAGTGCATATTTCCCACTTGACCTCAGGCTTTTGGCTGGAATTTTGGAAAGAATCTTCACCAGAAAATGAAGCTGTGTCCCAGACACATAGGCAGGCAGGCAGACAGGCATACAGGCATACACACACACACACACACACACACACACACACACACACACACGTGCAGTATCAGAGGAGGTAAATGTGCCAAGGGCATGGTTTAGGGGAATACCAGGGCTCTTACAAGTGAGACTGTGACTGCCACTTCCCACTTGGTAACCTCCCTACCCTCTGCCAGGGTGCGGGGTATAGAACTTGGCCCCTCTTGGACTGCTGTGGTTGGGGGCCCAAGTGGATCAGGGAGAGTGCCTCTTGCCTTTAGCTGCTACATACCCTGGCCTCTCCTGAGGGACCCTTTCAATTTGATCCTATAACTAAGGAATGCGATAGAGGGGCCAGGTTTCTTCCTCTGAATACAGCAGCTCTAGAAAAATCTCTATAAGTTCCTCCCAGGAGGAGGGCTGGGCCTGGAGGAAGAGGCAGAAAGAGGAGAGAGCACTGTGGAAAGTCGGGGACACTTCTTGCCCCACAAGGTCTACTTTCACTGCAAGACTCCTGTGGGGCAGGATGAATTCTGTGGTCTGGTATGGGGCAGGCTGGGAAAGCGAGGCCTAGGGTGAAGACAGACATGACTGTTGAGGCTGATACCTTGTGGGACTGTGTCTCATCAGTGATCAATGAGCTGGACGGCCTGGCCAAGGGACAGGAGACAGACCACCGGGCTGGGGGCTATGCCCGTGTGGTGCAGGAAAAGGCACGGAAGTCCATCGAATTCCTTGAGCGGCGATTCGAGAGTCGGGACTCCTGTCTACGGGCCCTCACCAGCCGTGGCAATGAACTCGAATCCATCGCCTTCCGCAGTGAGGACATCACTGGCCAACTGGTGAGACCCCCAGCAAAAAGGGAGTGACCAGAGCCAGTCTTCAGAACAGGGTCTCCAGGAGGGAGGAGCTAATAAGGGAAGGTCAGTCAGCCTGGGCAGCTGAAGGGGCAGCCACTGTCGAAGCTCAGGAGTGGGCGTTCCCTGTCCCGTAGATCGCTCTTGGCACAGTTGGACGCGGTGTATGGGAGGAACTCTGGGATGTGACCCTCCCCAGGACCCCAGAGACAGAGTATACCTGTGCTTCCTCCACATAGTGCCCCCTCCTGCCCAGTAGCACTTAGCTCTTCACACACTGCCTTCCTCCAGGGTAACAACGATGACTTGATCCTCTCCTGCTGCCTCCACTACTGCAAAGACAAGGCTAAGGACTTCATGCCCGCCAATAAAGGTACAGCTTTGCCTCTGCCCAGCCTCGTCCCCTGCCCTACCTTCCCCTGCCCTACCTTCCCCTGCCATCCTCAGCGCTAGGGAAGGTTGAAGACTCCGGGTTCAGGCCTGATGCAAGCCTTAGGCCAGCACAGTTTCCTGCCCTCCCAGAAGTCAGATTCCCCTGTCACAGCTCCCCGACTCGCTGGGAATGTCAGGTGGACGCTTGGCCAACTAAGGATGGGCCTACCCCCAGGAAGCCAGGCTGCAGGCAGTGAGCTTTCCCATTCGGCGTGCATCCATTTCCTTTCTTGGGTTCTCAGTGAGTTCTCTGACAGCAAGAATGTCTTTATGATTCAGCGTAGCTTATTCTGGCCATGGTCTCCTGAGCCGAGCCCTCTGCAGCTCTGAGAGGACAGTCCCCAGAGGTCCCTGGGGCCCACCTCCCTGTTCTGAGCCATGCTCACCCTCTTAGTTCATCCCTGAAGTTTACCCTGATGTTTATCAGTCTGGGGGTGGAGGGACTTCCCCAGCAAGTAGTGGGTCTCTTCTTCCTGTCCCTACGGTCATGAGCTCAGCACTTTCCAGGCTGGCTGGAGTTGGAGGCAAGTGAGAGCTTGAGGACTGAGCCCTCAGGCCCGCTTTCAGGACCTTTTAGGTAAGCAGAATCCCATCTTTGGCCCATAGGCCCACCCCTGGGGCTCTCTTCTAGGTATTTGAGCACCTCGCTCAACCTTGAACTTTCCTGCACTGCCCCTCAGAGTCAGCGAGTTTCAGGTATTTTCTGTTCCTGGTTCCCAGGAGTCTGACATTTCAAATCTTGTGGAAGGAATTTCTAGGACCTCCTACCTCAGCATCATCTGCAGAGCTGATAATTCTCACCATTTGGTTTCTGTCTACATATATATAGTCTTCTGTCATTTTCTTTTGGTGGTTGTCACCCATTTCCCCTGCTCCTTTTCCTTGCCCTGGCTTCCAGGCTGATCTAGGGGTTGTCTTCCCTCCTGCTGCTCCCACCCACATTAGTGCACACTCTCTGTACTAGGGGCTGGTAATGAGTCCTCAGATGGGTCCTGCCACGCGGCTTGCACGTACTGGCCCTTAAGGCCAGATGTGGAGCGTTCAAGTGGTAAAAAGGAGTCCTTGCTGAGCCAAAGAGAGGAGCTTGGGCTCTGCTCCCAGGCAACTGCCTAGAGAGGCACCTTTGGAGGGAGAGGTAGGCAGGAGTGCAAAAGGCCTTGTTGGGAAGTACGGTTCAGATGCTGATGAGGCCCCACCCAGCCTCAGAGCTGTTTCTTTCTTAGCAGAGACACATTTTGGCTTTGGCCCTACTAGTCTCCCCACCCCACCCCCACTTCACCCCAAACAGCCTACAGGAACCCATTGCCATCCTGGGGACCGCCCCTATCAGAATTACATCAGCAACGGCTGGTGTAATCAAACCCCATTTGTCAGTGTGAATTCTTAGCAGATTAACTTGTCAGATTCACAGAGAAACTGTCACCAAATGTTTATGTGTAAACGATGTTGAATTTTAAAATCATGTGGATTATGGCGGATGGGGCCTGACAAGATGACAGTCTCTGGTTTCTAACAAAGTGAAGTTACCAGTGTCAAAACAGAGGATGTTTATTGTTAAAAATGTCTCAAAGTATCCACAGAAACCCCTGCAGACCCCTGCCAGCAATGCTGGGCCTTGGTTGGCTGACCTAAAGCCTGGGACTCTCCTGGTCTGAGTCCCAGGGCCTGGATGGCGCGGCTGCAGACAGATTCAGCCAGCCAGCCGGGAGCCCCACATGGCACCGCGCGACACCACCCCACCCCACCCCACCCCACAGAGGCCAGGCTGAGGCAATTGAGCAGCAGTCTCAGAGCATCCCCTTCACCAGTGACCACCTTCCTCTCTCTCTCTGCCCACAACAGCCCCTCACCTCCCATCACACCCGCCTTCCACCTCACCCTTTCTCTCACCACCATCAACCCCACAAGTCTCTCCCTCCCTCTTCCCCCAAACTCCTCCCAAGGCTGACAGCGGGTTCTCAGCCTCCCTGCCTGGAGCTGGCAGGCCTGAAAGTGCTCAGGTCCGACATGGACATTTGCGGTCCCCCAGCCCGGCGCGCGCCCACAGTCAGTCAGCCCCACAGGACGTTCCCTGTGCCTCCTTGTCTGCCAGGCCCCTGTCAGGAAACGCCCACCTGGGACTGAGGAGTGGACTTGCCACCTGAGGGGCCTTGCCAGGGGTGGGGGTGTCACCTGTGTTGAGAACTTGGCCCCAGTTTAAGTTCTCCCCCAATACATTAAAAGTTTAGGGAATTAGGGGAAGGTAAGTGCTAAAAGTCATGTAAAAAGAATAAAGGCGATCTGTTTTTAAAAATAAAATTGGAATAAAAAAGTATGGCTAGTATGAATCTAATGTTGTAGGGGGCAGGGGAAAGCTTATATAACAAGAATACATCCTTGTAAATGTGCTTAAAGAAATCTGGAAGCATACACAGATCTACCCCGGGGAACAAGGCAGAGACATGAAGGGAGAAGAAACCTGGGCGGACGTGCCTGCTGTTGCCTTTCCCTTTCCCTCTTCTGCGCTGTTAGAGGTTTTCACCATGGATTACTTTTACTTAATAGAGGAAATCATTTGGCTACAGCCTCCGGGCCACCTTGGCACAGCTCTGCCAAGGACCCTTGCCTTCCTTCCCTCAGAGCTCCCTTGAACTAACCCGTCCTCACATCTGGAAGCCCTGGATACACTCCATATTCCACCTTTCGTTTTCTACCTCTTAACACCTAAAGCATCGATCTGCTGGCCTTGGAGGGAGAGGATGTGTTGTGAGTCCAGGAGCAGCCATGCAGTCAGAAGTAGAAGGAGAGGGGCTCTCCTGCTCCCTCAGTTCAGCGTACTGGGAGAGGGGTGTGTGGAGGCTGGTGGCTTGGGCAGCTCTCAGGACATCAGGCAGCACAGTCCTATGCGGGAGGCAGGGGTCCACACAGACCAGCCCCAGCCCAGCATGGCCTCTCTAAGCCAGCAGGGGAGGCGCACCCTCAGCCAACCATCTCCATGAGGGAAAGGATTTGTGGAAGGGGCCAGGCAATGTCTGGCCTTGACCCCCCCAGGACCATATTCCCCTCCAGAGAGGAGAGGCAGCCAGTGCCTCTGCCTCGTGCCCTCAGTGAAGTCCTTCTCTCTTGTGCCAACAGAGGAGCCAATCCGGCTACTGCGGGAGGTGGTACTGCTGACAGATGACCGGAACCTGCGTGTGAAGGCGCTGACGAGGAATGTGCCTGTGCGGGACATCCCGGCCTTCCTCACGTGGGCCCAGGTGGGCTGAGGGGGCCACACTGGGGCCCACCCCTGCGGAACCGTTCCTGAGAGGCCACCAGGCGCCCAGTGTAGCACAGAAGATGCCCACATGCCTGAGCCACCAATCCTCCCAGACAATAAACCATCCTCTTCCAACCCACGCCGTGGCCGTGCTGTGGGGGAGCTGCTCCTCACAGAGCCCTCCTGAGGGCTGGGCTGAAGCTGCAGGGACCCTCCTGGGCTGCCAAGACTTAGTAGAGAGGTGGCTGGCTGCAGTGACAGCAGGTGGGCAAGCCAGATAGGTGGTCCAGCCTTTCTCCCTTCCCCTGTCTGTCTAGTTCAAGGGCTGGGGGGAGGCTTTCTCAGCACTGGGACTCAGCCACTTTCCCAGGTGGAGACGGTGCAGGGCGTGGAGGTTTCCATCAGGTGCAGGTGAAAGCACGGGTCCCTTTAATCTTCAGAACCCCTGTCCTGAATGTGTCCAAGAGGCTTGGTCATGCCATGAAGAGAGTGCCCAGGGTGTGTCTCTCTCCCTGAGGCCTGGATTCCCCCATGGACCCATGTTGGGTTCTGGACACCATGTCCCAAACAGCAGCCCCACCCCACCCGACACTCTCATCCTGCTGCTCTTCTTCCTGCCTTATCACTTGGGGTCCATAGCACTTTGCCACTTGTTTTCCCCTCGGATGGTCATGGGTCTAGAGGGAAGGGACATCTGGTCTCCGGCCCATGCTTCCTGGGTGGCCTTTGCCTGCTTCCTCTCCTCTCCTCTGCCTTCCTTTTGCTCTAGTTCCCACTGAACAAAATTATTCAGACTTTTCTCAGTTCTCTCCTACCCTCTCCTTGTTCTCCCTCTTCCCCCCACTGACTCATCCCCCTGCCCTCCTTCCCTTTCTAGTTGGCCCCTCTCACCTCCTTGGTCTCCTCAATGTCCTCACCTCAGTTCCTTGCCATGGGGTTTGTCACTCTGAATCGCCTTCCTCTGGTACCTGTGGCAGGAACCTAAAAAGCTTTCCCACGCCCCTGTGCTCTGAGAAACTTGCAGGCTAGTAGTGCCTGAGCATTGCCTAGCCTAGAGTTTGCACCATTTTCTAGCTTTGCCCTAGAACTTGACACAGGGCCCTTTGGTCTTTTTGGTTTTTTTGTTGCTCTTTAGCTGGCACCTGTGTTCAAAGCCTCACTCTAGAGGCTTCCTGCTGGGAACTATTCTCCCAACCCAGGGACAGGGATGAAGGCAACTTAGGGGAAGACAGGGTTTTAAGGAGAAGCCAGGAGTAAGTTTTGATGGGACCAGTGGAGGAATCCCCCCAGAGCCCTTTGTCTAGCTGTATACCCTACCCAGAGAATGGGAGCAAGTCTGTGCCCTCTCAAGGCCCAAGATTATGCCAGAAGGTAGAGGGACTGTATAGAGAGGTATGAGTCCCCCAGGGCCTCAGAAGACTGGACTCTTTAGGGTATAGGGTCTCCAGCCTTTCCTTTGAAATCCTCTCCCCTGGATTAAGGCCAGTGACTGGGTGGGTGGGAGACCCATCTCTCCTTTCTGTCCCATTTGCAGCACTGGTTTTGTTTCCTTAATAAATTTTTAGTTATGAAACATATCTGACCTCTTGCTGATCTTTCTCTGAGACTGGGGAGGGACAGGAGGGAAGAAGATACAAGCCTCTGCACCTGTGTAAGGGTGCTGTGTCTGATCCCTCTGCCTGTCTGGCCCCACCTGTCCCCAACCAGAACCTAGTGCAGCGCGGAAGAGAGCCGCAGGGTCCAGGGTCCTTGGTTACTGTTTTATTGCTGTTTGGATCGAGTATAGAAAATGGAAGCGGCTCTAGAAGAGCCTGTGTACAAGGTAGAAAATATACAAATGAGGAGGAGGGAGCTAAAGAGACCACGTTCCGGCCCAGCCCAGCCTGGGCTCGGGGTGTGGGGCTGCCCGGGGCGCATGCAATAAATATGGTCCGGGGCCCCAGGGAAGGAAGGAGGACACCCCGTGGGAGTGGGAGACTGGGTAGGCCAGGGCTGTCTTAGCCCTCAGACTCCAGAAGGAGGGAAGGGTGGACCCTGGGGTTAGTGCCACTTGTGCAAAATGAGGAACTTCACATTATCAGTCCCCAGGCGGGTGGGAGCGGGGGCAGGGGGCCCTCCGGCCGGCTCAGTCCCCTCCCCGCTCCCCAACTCTGCCCGACGCTCCGACCCCAGCGGGGAGATTCACAGTGAGAATGGGTGTGGTCGCAAGGGCCGGAGGTAGGGCTGGGAGCGCCCCAAAAGTGACACCCCTCCCCCCAAAAGCAGCACGGAGCCGGGGGGACGGGGCCAACGAACCACAGGAAGAGGCGGAGAAGGGCCGGGGGTCTCCTTTGGTCAAAGCTGATATCAAAAATATAAATCTCCCTTCCCCCACCCCACCCCCATCCCGGGGTTTTCCCCTCACCCCCACCCCCGGGCTAAGGCACGAAGCAGTGAGGCCAGGTGAGGCCGCAGAGAGGTGGGGCCGCCGCCATTGCGTTGACGCTGCCGCTGCTACTACAGTTATCTTGGAGCGGTGTGCCGGCTCGCCGCCGCCGCCGCCGCCGCCCCCGGAGGCGCGGGCCAGGGGCCACGCAGCGGCAGTGAGGCGGGCCTCTTAGTGGGGCGCTCTAGGTGGGGGAGAAACGGTCGATGGTCCGGCCGTCTGGCCCAGCGGCCAGGTGCGCTCCCTGGCTCAGCACCTCCGCCGCCTTGTCCGGGCTGAGGCCCAGTTCCGCGGTGAACTTAGCCAGCGGGTAGAGGCTCTCGAGCGCCACCTTGGGGTCGTGCAGGAAGTGCGTGGTCTGCGCCAGCAGCTCAGCCGCGGCCGCCTTGTCCTGCTGCTTCAGGCTCAGCTGTTCAGCCGTGAGGCGCGCCACAGCAAAGACACCCTCGGGGAAGTCGAGCTTGCCCTTACCATCGGGGCCGGGGACGCCAGGCAGCCCCCCGAGCCCCGCCAGTGCCCCGGCTGCGCCTGCTGCGCCACCCACGGCGTGCATCTTCATGTGACTGATGAGGTTGCGTTGCTGTGCGAACTTGCCACCGCACACCTGGCATTCATAGGGCTTCTCGCCCGAGTGGATACGCATGTGCTCGGTGAGGCGGTACTGGCGCGTAAAGCGCATGCCACACGCGTCGCACGCGAAGGGCTTGAGGCCCAGGTGGCTGCGCATGTGGCGCGTCATGGTCCCACGCTGCGTGAACTTCTTCCCGCAGATGGTGCATGGATAGGGCCGGGTCAGCCAGTGCGTCTTCTCGTGCTGCCGCAGCGTGGCCGGGTCCTTGTAGCTCTTGTCACACGACGCGCAGCGGTAGGGCCGCAGCAGCTCGCCCAGCCCGCCGGGAGCCCCAGCGACCTTGTCCCCACCGCCTCCAAAAGGGGGCCCGAGGCCCGCGGCCCCTGCAGCTACCTCAGCCGCCTCGGCCCTGCCATACAGCGCCTCCTCCTCCTCCACGTGCGCCTCCACGTGCGCATTCAGCTGCTCTGAGCTGGGGAAGCCCTTGCCACAGGGGATGCACACGTACAGGTTGTCACCGAAGCTCTCAGGCTCGCCATAAGCCAGATGCGGGCATGGGTAGCCCTCGAGGTGGCCGCCGGGCGGACTGGGGTCCTCGCTGCTGCCCGTCTCCTCGCTACTGCTCTTGTAGTCGTCGCCGTCGCCGCCCGCGCCAGGCCCGTCCAGGCTGCCCGGGTAACGCGGTGGTGGAGGCAGACCGAGCGGGGGGCCCCCGGGCGAGGCTGCCGGGTCCCCGCCGCGCTCCTCGCAGCGCTCTCCTGGGGAGCCGCGCTCCCGGCCCAGCTCGTCGCCGTAGCTGCCCAGGCCTGGCTCGTGCTTCATCCAGCGGTAGAGGAGGCTGGGCCCGTCGGGGCGGCCTGGGGGCTCGGGTCCTGGGCTGCCGCCGCCGCCACGAAACGGGTCCGGAGGCGGTACAGTCTCCTCCAGCTTTTGGAAGGGCAGCGGTGGCAGTGGAGGCAGAGAGAGCGGTGGTTCCTTGTAGGCTGCGGGGCCCGCGCTGGGAGGGCTGTCTGGGCGCGGGGGCAGCTCGCGCTCGCCGGGCGGCCGCTCTGGAGGTGCGGAGCCCGATGGGCTTTTCTTGGACAAGTCCAGGCCGCAGAGTGGGGAGCAGCGGCGTTCCGGGGCACAGAGTGCGGACGCCGGGCCAGGGCCCGAGGCGTACAGCTCTGCGCAGTGCGTGTTCACTGCCGCTTCGGGGCCCGACGGCGGCTCAGCGCTGGGCGGCGGCGGAGGCCCGGCTGGGGACGAGTAGCAGGCCTGGATGACCGGCGTGGCAGCCCGCAGGCCCCGGCCTGGCCGCCCGTAGGGTGCATAACCGCCGCCGCCGCCGCCGCCGCCCCGCAGGTGGCAGTACTTGCCGTGGCGCTTGAGGCGCTTCTTACACAGCGCCACGAGGTCGGGGATCTGCAGGTAACTGGCGGCAGCCAGCACGGCGCCCAAGCTCGGCTCGGTCCCTGGAGCTACTGCCGCCGCAGCAGCAGCCTCTGCGCCATCAGCCAGGCGGCCGGTGTAGATGAAGTCCAACACCAGGCGGAACACGGCTGGGCTCACCATGTCATGGTCCAGGTTGAGCAGGTTGTCATGCACAACCAGGGACTTGAGGTAGGCGCTGCTGGCCGCCAAAACGTTCTTGTGCGCGCGGAAGAGGGCGTTCTGCACCACGATGATCACGTCGCACAAGAAGCCCTTGGTGCGCTGGTTGTTGAGCTGCAGCAGCAGCTGCCTCGAGTGGCCGGGCGCCTCCATCGTGTCCAGCATCGTCTGCCCAGCACAATCTCCTGCGGGGACACACACCAGCCGGTTCAGAGCCGCACGGAGCCCTCGCTGCCGGTCCCCCGTCCGGCGCTTCTCCCCTCCACTTTCCCTTCCCCTCAGCTAGGCACCAGCATCGAGCACCGTGGCCTGGGCACTGGCGGAGGATCAGCGGCCTCTGAGTGTGGGAGCCTGGGCCGGCGGCCCAGACCAGAAGGAGCAAGAGAGCGGCTGGTGGAGAGGAGGCCAGGCTGGCCTGCACCCCCAGGCCCGGAGGCACCGGGGACACAGGCTGGCTTCTTGGGGGGCTTCCAAGGAGAAAACTGTTCGGGCGAAGTGACCCTTTCGGAGACAGTTACCCGATTTGAGGGAAATGTCCGCTTCAGGAAAAGTCATTCAGGGCCGAGAAGTTTGCCCAAGTGGGATTTAAGGGAGACGAGTGAAAACCGCCTCCCGCCTCGGGAGAAGTTGCCCCAGTTGGGGGAAGTGATCCGGAGGAGGGGAGCGCCCTGGCTGCCGTGGCGCCGCCCTGGCCAGGGGCTGTCAGGCCCTCAGTTGGGGCCCGGGCGGCGGCCGCGGCACCAGGAGCGGAGGCAGCGGCTGCCGTGGCGGGCAGAGCACGAAGGCCGGGCCCCGGCGCGGGGAGGGCGTTATATCGGGGCAGGAGGCTGAGGCAGGAAGCAGGTGGGGGGGAGGGGGGAGCCACGCAGCTCCCAGGGGAGGGAGGGGGCAGCGCCCCGGGCGGGCACGGCGCGCAGCCGGCTGCGGCCCTGACCCCGGCCTGCGCCCCACCCGCGTCCCGGCCCGGCCTCGGCCTTAGGTCTGCATTGGCAGACCGGCGCCACCCTCCCCAGCTCCCCTCGGCCCCTTCTCCACGGGAACTCCGCCGCCCCAAACTTGGGGAAAAGTTTCCCAACTTCAGACAGGCCGGGAGGGGCGCACCAGACCCAGTCCCTCGGCTCCTAGCTTTTCCTCTCGCCCCCCATTTTGGCAGGCGGGCGACCGCAGGGCCTGAGTCGAGCCTTGAGCTGCCTTGCCCGCCCGCTCGCCCGCCTTCCCCTGTTCCCCGCCTGGCCCGCAGGACCTCGCGGCCCGTTACCTGCGGCCGCAGCCCGACCGGGCTTCCCTCCCCGTGGTGGTGGCAGCTCCTTGCCCGCGCCCCACCCGCCCCGCTGCCAGGCGCCGATCTATGCCAGGGCAGCGCCCCTGCCAGCCCCGCCCGCCAGCTCCCCTTCCCTTCCCCTCGCTTTTCCAGCCCATGTGCGGGCAGAGCCGACCCGGGCCGCTGACCCCGCCGTGAACCCGGCGCAGAGCAGCGGCCCGGTGGTCCTGAGTCCTCCAGGGGCTACACTCGGAGCTCCGAACGCCAGCCGCGCTGGGACGCCCGCGCCGGAGGATGCGCCTGAGGCGGCCAGCGCGCAAGGACCGGGCTGTCTGGGTCCCCTGTCCCTCCCGGTCCCCAGCCCAAGGACCCACCTGGGGGGCATGTCGGAAGCCCCGGACCCGGCTGCCGGCGGATCCAGGGGGGACGTGGCTGCTCTGCGCTGCCCTCCGCCCGCCGGGCCCCCGGTCGGTCTGTCCTGCTGGTCCGTCCTCCCCGCGTCCTGGTCGCGTCTCAGCCCCGCCGCGCTTTCCGCACACTCTTATCTGGAGCGGCCCGGGCCGGCAGGCTCTGCTGCAGCTATGGCGCCACCTCGCGGTCGAGCGGAGCTTTACGCGACACAGCCACGACCTCCCTCCGGCGCACCTGGGCTGGAGGCTCCCAGATGCGGAGTTGGATCCTGCAGGGGGGCCTACTCGCAGATTCACCCTCCCAGATGTGCCCGACGAGGAACCCAAGCCCCGGACCTGCGAGCCCCACAAACCTCGGAGTTTTGAGCTGAACGCTCCTGTGTACATATTTGCAGATTCTCACATTGCCCCAATTCGGAGAAGTCCTGCCCTCAAGGAGAGGACTCTGGTGACAGTAGATGGTGAGAAGGAGGTTACGGAAATCCTAAGGAAGAAGAAGATGGACAAGATCTTGGGGGCCTCTCCTTAGACATTCCTGGATAGGGCTGTCTATTTGTACCCACCCCCAAACACACACATCCTGACTCAGACACATGAGTTCTAGAATAACACATGCACAGAATAAACCCGTTTGCACCCAGATCCTCTCCAGGTTCTGACACCTGCGGGCGCGCAAGTTTGCACAGATACACCTGCCCCCTTTTAGAGTCCAAGTCCCGGCTCTCTGGAATACTCTGGGGGCTGCCACGTAGGGCTCTCCGTGAACCTGGACAGACAGACAGGTTACCCAAACAGCCCACCCTGAACTTGCAGGTCTATGAAGGGACCCTAGGATATTCGACTGGGAATGGCTGGACAGTGCCTTTTGGGGGGCCCACAGAAGCGAACCCAGCCCCCGAGTGAGCCGTTTTGAGGGACCGCTTGTACGATTTTGTCTCCAACACACCGACATGAGAGAAACGACAGGAGGGCCTGCAGCCCGGGATCTCCTGCAAGGTCCTGCACCCCGTGTGAAGGCCAGGTTCTTGCAGGTAACTCCTCTTCTGGGAGGGAGGAGACCCCGCACTGGCGCGCAGGCACTCACAGGGTTACTCCGGAAGTGTCCCCCGCGCAGCCCAGCACCCCGCACCCACCTGATAGCGGCTCGGGGTCTAGCTGTGGCCCACGCTCCTCCTCCTCCCCGCACCTCCTGGCCCCCGCCCACATGTGGGGGGTGGGAGTGGGTCCCTGAGAACGCCTGCAGCTTCTGATTGGCTGCGCCTTCCTCAGCTGCCTCACTAGAGGCTGGGGCGCAGAGTTACCATAGTAACCGATGAGGTTCGCCCAGATCGCGTCTCTCCAAGGCCTTGGAGAGCTTAACAACCGCTCAGGGCCGCTGGGCGGGTGGGGGCTGCGCTCGCCGACCCCCGCCCCTTGCGGCCCTCCGCCCCCATGCCCCGTTAGAGGTGGTGGCTGAGTCGCTCATTAGGGGACGCCGGCGGGGCCACTCGCGGTCTGTGACCGACACCAAGGGTTCGGGCGCCCCCCAGAGGTTCCCTTTCCTCCGCGTGAGACTTCGTGGCCTCCCGGCCAGGAGACGGCTCCTGGTCCCCGCAGGTCCTCAGTCTTACTGCGTCCTGAGTCCGCCCTCACCCTGTTTCCAATCTGTGTTCTGGATCAATCTTATCCTAATCCTCTCTTCTGTCTTCCCATGATGTCCTCACTAGGGAAGTAGTAAGGTTCCAAAAATGAAAATGGTCTGTTCCTGAGCTACAGGCCCCTGCAGCAGGGGGACGTGCTGTGCGCTGAGACAGAAAAGTGAAAGGTGTGCTGGAAGGAGGTGGGAAGGGTCCTCAGAAGTGCTCTTAGAACTGGGCTTTGATGGATGAACAGGAGTTCTCCCACCAAGCAGGAAGGCATTCGTAGAGAGCCTCTGGGAGGAAGCCTGGAGGAAAAAGAAAAATAAATAAATAAATAAACAAAACAAAAGCCTCTAGTCAGCCAGATCCCAAAGTGTGTGGAGGACCTCTCTGACCCTGTCTCTACTGTAATCTTTTATCCTCTTGATGAGGCCAGATCCTAGCCTCACAAGGAGCCCCCTCAGCCCTGTGTCTCTTTTGTGCAGTGGATTCTGTCCATTGTGGACCCATCGCGGTGTCCACTGTGCCCACGATCCTTGTTTGGTTTTTTTCAACACTCTACCTGGATCCCTACTTTCCAAGTTAACTCACTGCCCCAGCCCCTGTCCTTACATCTGTATGGGAGGGTCTCACAGACCTGCCCCCAGCCTAGCTACCTTCCTGTAGGCTTCACTTTTCTTCAGTCTTTGACCTTTCCCTCCCTACCTAGTTCCACCTGCTCTGGCCTAGCGCTGCCCACTCTCCACCCCAATCCAGCTCCTTTCTCTGAATGCACTCTCCTTCCCTCATTGAGAGAGCCCATCGGACTAGGATCATTCATTTCCCTGCTCCTCTCCAGAGGAACTCCAACCCACATGGCATGGGCCCTTCCTGCCAATTCTGATCTCCAGGAACTCTTACTCCTTCAAGAAGTGATCTCTGCCCTGCCAACCCCTGGAGACCCCTTTCTGCCAAGCTGCTGAGCCCGTAACTCATTATCACCCTCATATGTGCTCTGTCAATGCCCTTCATTCCACAAACCGGTCCTAAACGTGGTCTGCTGTGTGCCAGGGTCTGAAACTGACACTAGGGACCTGTCCTTCTCCCCTCCACCTGCTGAGTCTTCCTCTTCCTCGTACCCCCCTTCTCCTGCCATTTCTTCCCTAACTCCCCCGCAGAGGAACCCCTTGCTTATTTCCAGAGTCCAAGCCACCCTCTTCAATTTTTCTGCCTTTTCTCGGGTCTCCAACTCCCGACTGGTACCTGGACCCCCACTGGGCATTCCTTCCAGGCCCAGCCTCCTCCTACAAAGCCTTCCAAGATCCCCGAGTTCCCCCTCTCTTCCCCCATCCACACCACAGCTCTAGGTGCTGCCCTAGCGCCACCCCCTCGACCACCCCCCACCACCGCCACCAGCTTCCTCTCTTGCCTCACTCCTCAGGGTGACGACACCGCAGTGGCCATTGGGTATAACGCCGCCGCGGGACATCTTGTGACGTCACAGGGTCTTCAGGTCCAGAAACTAAGGAGTAGGATTGGGTACTACCTTGGAAGAATGGGCTGGAGTGGGGTGGCGTCCCAAGTGTCTCAGAGTGAATAAACATGTAAGGGACCCGTCAGCTTCCCCCCGCCCCCCCCCGCCCCCACTATCCTCTCGCTGGCCCCCAGCCCGCAGTTCCGGAAAGTTAACTCCTTGAAGATTGGTACAGGGGGCACGGGCTCCCACTCCCCGTTCCTGCTTCCATGTACCCTTCCTCCCCCTCCCAGCTCCTCATTCAACTCCTTATCGCCTCGGTCCCCACCCCCACCCCCCCACCCCGCCGCCTCTATAAATAGCCCCTCTTCCCGTTTCCTAAATTCCCTGCTGACGTCGGCAGCGCGTCAGTGTGTAGGAGCCTCGGCCGCATGAATGAGCCGCCGCACGAGTACTACGCGCGACTATAAAAGCCGCCGCGCCAGCGGGACTGCAGGAGGCGAGCTGGCGCGGGCGCAACGCGGCCCGGCAGGTAAGCGAGACTGACCCGCGGACCGGCGACAGATGGACGGATGCACGGACACGGACGGAGGAGCAAGGAGGAGACCGGCAGGCAGTAGGTTGGAGGGCTCCTACGGGGTAGGGTTGGAGGCAGGGTGGGGGATGAAGGTTCCCTCGCAGCTGGTTGAACCGGTACCGGAGGCGTACACAGAAACCCGTGCAGCACCTGCCCGCGCCTGGATGGAGATGCAGCCACTTCGGAGGAGCATCGAACAGAAGATGGACCCCGGAGACCCCGCGGCTTTTCCTGGGGTTTCTGCGCCATCCTCTCAAGAAATTGGGGAGATGCTGGCGCCTCAAGTGACGCGCCCCCACCTCTCCCTGCCCTCATCGCGGTGACTCAGCCTTGCTGTGCCCGGCCAGCTGAGCGGGGCGCCGGCGACGGACAGACGCCCACCTGCCTGCTACCCCGAATTCAGCCGGGGCGCCCCCTCCCCGTCCTGTCCCGTCGGGCTGGTCCCTCTGCGCCCCCGACTTCCCGCCTCTGCGCGAGGAGCTGTCCTCTCAGGACCAGGCGGGGGCGGGGCCTCGGCAGGACTGCCCCGCCCCACCCCCACTGACACCCCCCCTCCCCAGCCGCCGGAAGTGCCTCTCCGCAGGGACATCTTTGACGTCACAGGGCTTTGACGTCAAGGGCCGCGTGCCTGTCCGCGAACGCTGGGGCCGAGAAAGGCGGGAGACGCGGGGGAGGAAGAGCAGCAGCGCCCCCAGCTGCAGGCAACAGAGGCACTCCCGCCCGGGCAGCGCGCCGGCACCTTGGCTCTAGACTGCTTACTGCCCCGGCCGCCCTCAGTAACAGTCTCCAGTCACGGCCACCGACGCCTGGCCCCGCCCCAGGACCGCGGAATCGGCCACCTGCCGCGCCCCTGGCCCCTCTGTACCCCGCCCCTCCCCAGGGTCCCTCAACCCCACGCTCACTGCCCGCGCCACCGCTGTCCGCGGTGCTGATTCAGCGCAGGCTCCGCCATCGGGCCGTCCGGTCCCTGGTCCCTAGGGGCTGCGAGGGGCGGCCGGCCCACACGCACTTCGCACAGTCGGGGAGCAGTCCGGCGCCGGGTCCCCGCCGTGCGCCCCGCCCCCGACCCCCCCACCCCAGCGGTCCTGACGTCAGTCTTGACTGGAGCTGCCGCGGTGCCGTCAGCAGCGCGCGCCCCGCCCCCGCGTCTCCAGGGCAACCGTGGCTTTCGATTGTTACTGTGGGAACCGAAGGTAACAGTCTACAGCCATGGTCGCCCCGCAGCACGCCCACGCGCCGCGCCGCGCACTGCCAGCCCTGGATGAGGGAGGCTATGAGCAGGAGGAAGCGGGGGCGACGAGTCAAGATTGGATAAGTCTGAGGGCGGCGGGGCGGGGCGGGAGGTTCGACGCAGGCGGGCTACTCCGGGGTTTGCCGCGCTTCCACGGAGGCAGAGAAGGAATCACGGTGTGCAGTATGGCTGACCGTTGGCCTCAGTGACTGACCTGTCGTCCTAGCCGAGGTATTGCAACCAGGGGATGGCGAGAGAAGGGGTAGTTATGAGATTTAGGTTCTTTTTATCTCCTCAGTGTGAGGGAGGCTGTTGGGACCTGGAAGCAAGAAAAAATGTTTGCCTCCTAGGGACTGAAGGGGGTAAACAGAGGAAAGTTTTCCTAAATATGTCTAACTTCATTCTTCCAGGAACTCTTAGCCGAGGGCGAAGAGTAATCCTTGAACCCATTTTTCTAATAGAGTCACAGCCTCTCCTCACTCCTCTCCCCACTCTTTCCTCCTCTGAGCCATGTAGGATAAGAAGAGTCCCCAACCCTCAGGAAGCCAGTGAGCTTGTAAAGCGTTGTCTGAACGTCTCAGCAGTCTATCGCTGTGTACTGGATTCCAGTTGGAGACAGTGTCTCAAATTAACCCTAAATTAGGGGAGTGAATCAGAAGGGCCGCAGTCCTGTTGTGCCAGTGAAGTGTGAGCAATGACTTCTTCAAAATATTGTGTATGTCACCTGCCACCAACATCACCCACTACAGGGGCTGTTGGATATTGGGTGCAGGACTTCCCTAAGGACAGTGTTGGGAATGGTTAATGCAACCCAGCCCTGCCACCAATTAATTCAATTTTTCTCTACTTTTCCATACCCTGTCCTTTTCTAAACTACTTAGACTATTGGTGTTGGTTTCACAGCTAATCAATGCCCACATGCTGCCTTCCTCCTACCCAAGGACTCTGAGGGCTTAGATTAAAATGCACTTGATTCTGAAATCCAGTGGACATCCATGGGCAGACTGTAGTGTTTGCAGGTGGGAGTAGTGGACTGGGAAGCAGGAGGTCCAGCCTGGCTTCACCAACTGGTTGTTATTTAAGGGGCCACGTTGTTTCTGAGCCTTCTGTAAAATGAGATAATAATCCCTCCTTTTGTGCAAGTAAAGATCAAATAGAATCATGTAAGTTAAAACCTTTAAAAACTGCAGAATGATACTTCACTCTTAAGTCCTATTCTACTAGGCCACTATGTACTTTGTGGGGCGGTTATAGTGTTGAGGAGACTCCAGCTCTGGGCACTTAGGCAGAATGAACAAGAAGGGGGACACATCTCTCTGAGAAGAACCTCCAGGACTGTGGCTCTTGAGAGGTTCTTTGCTAAGGGACTCTCCCAAGAGCTTTATGAATCCAAGGTGGAGGGAGAGGTAGAAAAGAAAAAGAAAAGGATATTCTGAAGGGACCACGTCTTTTGCAGTTGGAACCCATCTGGAGAAGGTAGTTGGGGGCGGGGGGACACAGAAGACTGATCATACAATATTAGAGTTTTTCAGTATCTTGGAAATCACTTAATGCTCCCACCCCCGACCTATTTTATGAATTAAGGTGAGGCCCGGACAGACATGTAGCCCAACAGTAGTGAGTGGTGGCCTCTGCTCACCTTCTGTGGTGCAGCAACGGAAACAATGACTAGAAAAGGTCAAGAATGTGAGTTCTTGGATCTAAACCAACTTTGGGTAAGTTACTAGCCTCTCTGTACCTGTTTCCTCAGTAGTAAAATTAGGTTAATAATAGTATCTACCTCATGAAGTGAGATTAAATTAGGCAACTATAAAGTTTTCACTTATCAAAATGTCTGGCATAGTTAGCACTCAATACATGGTATTCCCCTTTCTATCCTCTGGACCTCATTTTCCTTGGTTATAAATTGAAAATGTTAGCTGAATGATTCTTGAGAGCTTGCTCCCCATCCCTAGTGGAGTGCAGGAGAATCGCATGGGGGGCATTTTTCAAATACGTATTAACAGAGACTTATATTCTACTCTCTAAGCCAGCGGTTCTCAACCTGTGGGTCGCGACCCCTTTGGGGGTGGAACGACCCTTTCACAGGGGTCGCCTAAGACCATTGGAAAACAAAAAGATATTTACATTACGATTCGTAACAGTAGCACAATTACAGTTACAGAGTAGCAACGAAAATAATTTTATGGTTGGGGGTCACCACAACATGAGGAACTGTATTAAGGGGTCGCGGCATTAGGAAGGTTGAGAACCGCTGCTCTAAGCAGTCGTTTTCAAATATTATGCTGCATAGGAATGACCAGGACAGCTTGTCAAAATGCAAATTCCTGGGTCCCAGTGATTCTGTGAGTCTGGAGTTGGCCCTAGGAATCTAAGTTTAACATGATGCTGATGTAAATGGTCTACAGAATCTGTATTTGTGTTGGGGCAGTAGGCGGCGGGGGTGGGGGGGGGAGTGTAGGGGGAGACTAAGATTCTCCATTGTTCCTGGAAAGCATAATGCCAGCTGACATCTCTTTTTGGGAACTAGCGGACCACGTTTCCTTCTTCGGCGTTTTATGATTCTTGGTGGAAATTCTCCTCACCCCATGCATGAGTACTTCTGCTTCACTTAATACTGCTATGCCCTACCCTCACCCTTCTAACTTTAGGCACTGGCTAAAAATTCATTCCCCAATGTATCTTCCCCTCACTCCTTTACTCCCAATAATCCCAAGCAGCAGCAGCTGTGGTACACAAGCCATCATTTTCATCTCTTGGGACCTTGCTAAAGGCGGCAGCTTATGATTGCCATGAAAGCACATGAGCCCTGAACTGCAGGACCACACTGCATTCCATGCTGAACTGCTTATTTCTAGAGAAGCCAAGAATCTTGAGTTTTTGTGTGAAATTCCTAAAATTTTAAATACCGTAACTCCAATCTTTTCTAAAATTCTATGGGCCAAATCCAACAGGTTTGTAGGAGTAATTCAGTCCATTTCAGAGTCTCCTCCTTTTGCCAAGGAAGGGATCCCTTTAAAAGACCAAGAGTATACTTAACTGGCAGGGGAGATACCATGATCATAAAACACAAAGAGCAAGGGAGAGGCCAACTGTAGCAAAGGAGAACTTTTTCCCTATCCTATCTGCTGTAAAGGTCCTAAATCCAGTAAACTGGGTCTGTCTGGGTGGATACTGACAGTTTTTTTGTGTTTGATTTTTTTAAAAAATCTTGGACAACTGCTATCTATAGTGAACTCAGAATTTCGGGTAATTTAAGGAATATCTGTTGTCTCAGGGTGGGCTGGAGTATTTTTTTTTTTAATTTTATTGGGAAATTGGGGAAGGGGACCAGCCAAGTTGTTGTTCTTCAATCTTCTTTGTGGAGGGTGCCAGTCGCCATCTGGCTGCCCGTTGGCAGCTTGTGGCCTCTAAGCTCAAGGTGCTGTGTTTAGTCTTAGTTGTGGGTGGGCGTAGCCACCATCGAACAGGCAATTTTGTTGTTATACCAGCTAAGCCACCCTGCCACCTGTTGGCGGCTCAGTGACAGCTCAGCTTGGGCGCTGCGTCACTGGCCCATGTGGGAATCAAACCAGCGGCCCTGTTGCTCAGAGTTCTTAAGCCAACTCTTAACCAACTGAGCCACTCGGCCGGCCCACGGGCTGTATCTCATAATCCTAATTCCTGTTCCATTACTAAAGTCCCTAGGGGCAACCATGCTTGAGAGCCAGACACGGTCTCTTATGATTGTCCAGAAAAGGAACAAGCTGGTGAGCCTGCAGCGACAATGCCGAAGACAGAGAGAAATATGGGCAGAGGGGAGGGACATGGGAAGTAGGGGAAATGGCTAAAGTGGGCAGTCTTTAGAGTGCCTAGGAACAACCACCCTTCCAAACCAGAGGGGTTGCTTAGGCCTTGGCTGTGATCACTAGACATAGCATCAATTTCAGAAACTCTTTAAGTGGGGACAAAGTTGAAAAAGGGTTTCTTCTGTGCTGTCTTTGGCTTCCATCCAAGGTTTAGCACCCCCCCCCCACCCCCTTGAAGCTTAAATAGTTCAGAGATGCTAAAGCAGTTTATGGAGAAGGCAGAGAACACAAGAAGCCAGGATTTGACATAAGGGCGGCATACAACTCTGAGATCAGGATGGAGGAAGCCTCAACTCAGTATGGCCCAGGCAGCCTTGCCAGGTGAATCCTTCCCAGAACGTTTCAGATATAAACTCTTCCCTGATTCAGCCACCAAGGCCTCCTTTACTTTTGCTTGGGACTTAAGACTTCTCCCTAAAATGTGAGTGTGTATGCATATATGCATGAGCTTCTCCTGAGGGTTTATAACTGGAAACACCTCCCTACTTGGTGCTGCTCTGGAGGCTGTGTGGATGGCCAGATTTGTTATACTATAAAATGGACATTTTATGTATCAGGAAAAAGATGCTCAAAATCCAAATTACCACTTTATTGTGTGGCAGCAGTAGTGCCAGCCCCTGCTTTTCCCATGTCACCTTCTACTCATACAGGGCTCCACTGTACTTTTTCATATTTGAGTGTCCATCCAAGGTCAATGTCCATTAAGGCCTCCTGCTCCCCATTTTCTTGAGTGCAGATCTGGTCTCATATAATCTGAGTTTGAAGACTCGATATTTATCTCTTAATTGGTGATGGTGAAGAGCACTAACAGCAGTGGAGGTCCCAGAGTAAGGAAAAGGTGAGGCAGGGATCACAGGGGCTGTCCCAAAGTCATGTGTCCCTACTTGGGATGGGGTGGGGCGTGTAGGGGCCGAGGCATTTATTGATCTTTCACTCTGCAAACTGGTCCAAGAACTTGAGGTAGGCCTGGCGCTGGGGTGCAGCTGCTGGGATGAAGTGGCCACCAGAGTGGGTGAGAGTGATTGCTCCAGTGAATCGGCTAGCCAGTTGCACACTCTCCTCAGAGGGGATGACACGGTCAGTGTCCCCAAAAACATGGAGTGAAGGCAGTGACAAGGGGCCCTGCAGGATAGATTCCTGGAGGCCAAGCCCCCGAGGACAGAAACCAGATATTAGAATGATAAATCTTGGCAAGGGGAAGCGGCGATCGCCCGCTTGGCTAAGGGCACACACAAGCGCTGCTAGCGCAGCCCCCTGGCTGAAACCAAGAAGCCCATCGAAAGGTCCCAGCTTGTTCAGTGCCTGTGCCACCGTTCCCAGGGCTTCCTCCAGACCTCTGCACACTGTGGGCTCTTTCAGTGCGGAGAAAACGTCTGCCTCCTGTTCTGAAAACCACCAGCCTCGAATCTGCTCCTCTGGAGGGCAGGGCCCTACAGCGATATGGGGGAGAGGATGGGGTTAGGGAAAGGGGGAATCCAGGGGGTAAGACACGAGCAAGGGAGGGAGCGTTTGACAGGGATACAGGCTGACGGGAGAGAAGGCAGTCTGGGGGGAAACGAGGTGGGGAATCCACTGTCGTGAAGAGAGGGGAAAGACATCACAGTGGAAGCCTGGGAGGCTGGGATAGAAAAAAATGAAGGGTATGGCTGGAACGAAGTGGGAGGGTGGGAGAATGCTAAAGGGTATTATGGAGACGAAGCAAAATAGAGACTTCGGAGCGCATTTCCTGGGCAGAGCTCGTCTCACCAGACTCCGGCCCGGCGCCCTCCAGGCCCGCTACGTCCACGACCGGGTGCGGGCCGCTGAGGCACACGAGCTCGGCGCGGCCCCGCAGCGCTTTCCTCAGCGCTCCCGTCTTCTCGCGGAAGCCCCGCTCACTCTGCCGGAAGCCCGCCAAGCACAACACCCGCAAAGGTTGCCGAGCGGCCATAGTGCGGGACAGAGCGCCTCAGGGAGCGGAAGCGCCCTTTTCCCGAGCGGAAATTGAATTACGCAAGGGGGCGGACCCAAGTGTCGGCACCACCCTGAAGGCGGGCCTCAAAGCGAGTGGGCATTCCCAAGACAAAGCGGAGGGGTGAGGCGCGGCCAGAGCTGGGTGGGTACCTGAGACCCGGGGGCGCCTCAAGGAGTAAGCGGCTCCCCCTTGTCTCTGCAGCTGCAACCCTCGCAAGTCGCATCTGAAGAGGGGCGCGTGGATTCCTCCTGCACCTGAGATCACACGTTTTGGTCAGGATTCCGCTTCTACGATGTCCTTCACCCAGCTCCTGTTTTTCCCGTAGCGGCCGCATGGCGGCGGCCTCGGCTCACGTCGCTAGGGAGCGGTCAGTGTCAAGGCCGCGCCCAGGAGGGGCCACTCCTCCCTCTTTGGAGTCCCTGCCTACCTTCCTCAGCACAGGCCGACCTGGGGTCCGGGGGGGCCGGTCCCGTCCGTGGTTCACTGTCCATGGCCCCAAGGAGCTGCCAGCATAAAAGTCCATGGGGTAGGGCTGCTGCCAGGAAATGTCCCTCAGGGCCACTGCCGCCTAGGGGAGGAAAACAGGACAATAACACCTGCCAACATTTTTTTTTTTTTGGCAGGATTACTTAATCCAATCATAACAATGGCTTAAGATGGTCCTGTTATCCCCATACCACAGAGGAAATGTGAGGCTCAGAATGGCTAAGAGACTTACCCAAGGCCACCCAGCTAGAAAGTGGCTCAGTTGTAACTAAGTGTTGCCCACCCATCCCACTCTACTTCACATCCCTCCCTTAACAGAACCAGGTGCAAAGCCCGCTCTCTCTCAGGGATTTTCAGATCTCCGTGTTACCTCATAGGGTGTCAGCAGCGGCTTGGGAAAGGCTGTGCCCCAGTCAATGGAGAGGCGTGGACATGCCACCTGCACCCACCTGGGAAGGGAAGTCAGGTCAGACCCAAAGGGGGGGGGGGGAGTGTCCTGCCACTCTCCTGGGCAGCATGCTGAAGAACATGACGGTGTCCCCAACACACCCAGTTAATGCTTACTATAATTCTAAAGACTGTCACCTGCTGCTGTTTAGAATAACACTACAGTGTTGCTTGTCTTCTGTTTCCTCCATTGACTACAAGTTTTCCGAGGGTAGGGCCTGGGCAACTCATATGTGATAGTATCCCCAGAATCAAATTTAGTGCCTGGGATAGTGCAGGTGCCAACCATCCCTCAAACTCATTTCACATAGAACCACTATGATGTTGCAGTCACCTGTGAGCCCCAAGGCAGACAAAGTAGTGTGATCCATAGCCAAGGGTAGCCCCTGCTGGATAAATGCTCTGTCAACATTAAAATTTCATAGTCATGGGAGCAATGCCCATTGACTCCAGCCTTCAATATGTGCTGGGCAGGGCCTAGTTCTAAGCTGCTTTAGCAGAGTCATAGCTTGGTAAGTAAGGTGGGGAAACTTACACATCCACCTGAGGAAGTAGGCTAAGCTTGCTGGGGAATATCTCAGAGAGCAGCAGCCTCACGAAGGGTAGTCCCAAGGCTTGGAGCCGAGATTCCAGGTGCTGTTGGTAGAGACAGGCAAAGCTGGTGTCGTCATGATCAAGCAGCCAAGGCTAAATCCCTTAGCCTACTGATTTTCCCAGTCATTCTCTGAGCCATGCTGAGCCCTCTGACCTCCAGAATCTTGGGGCTGCCCTGGCGGCCCAAAGTGCCCAGAATAAGGCCCCAGGATTTAGCAGAGCGGGCAGTGGCTATGGCTTCTTGGCGGTTGGCCTGCATACGCTGGTGGTCATAGTGCTCTCTGGATAGGACTTTGCTATATGGATCGTATCTGGAAAAGAAGAAGCTGTCAGGGTCACGGTGACGGTCACTCATGGGACTTGGGTATGCACATGGCTCCGTGACTCAGCCCCTTGGTCTCCTGAACCTTCAGGCTCCAATGCAGGTAATTAGGAACAGTAGCAAGGGCAGAGACTATCATTGGGAAGATCAGTCCCACAGCTGGATCAGGCAAGAGTGGGAGAGGGTTTTAGGATCTCCGTGTGAATCCCAGGGCATGAGTGTATACGGTGCAGCAGCAGCCCAGGGTTTGATATCCAGATTCAGGACCCAAATGCCTCAGATCTTTAGGGTGGGGTGTGTTAAATGGCCAGGGAATTAGGAGGTTGTGGCCGATTGAGGGCCTCAGTGGCAGAGAATCCCACTCCTTGCCCAGCTGGTCAGCCCAGCTCAGTCCATACCGGTAAGCAGGGACATTGGGGTTGGCAATCATGACAGACTCCAGATGGAAGCGGCCATCTCCAAGATATCTGCAGCGGAGTAGAAAGGGGGTGGTAAGTGTGGGATGGGGCAGCAGAAGCAGGTACTGGCTTGGTGGTACAGAGGACTGAGTCCTTGGCTGGCTATGCTACTGATTGTGTATGAACTGGCACAAGTCATTTCACCTCCCAAGGCCTTGGTTTTCTCACATGTAAAGTAAGGCGTTTGAACTGGGTGATCGTAAAGCCCCTTTAGTTACATAATGCGAAATCTAAGAACGCCCTCCCCCCCAACTTTCTGGGGGGAAGAGTAAAGGAGCAGCCAAGGCAGGGAGATCCTAACTTGGAGATGGGGAGACAGATTCTCCCTCACCTAGCTCAATACAGATATGGTAAGTAGTGTTCAGGGTGACATCTATGCTATAAATGAGGTTTGGGCTACTCTCGCCCCAAACTAGCTCTTGGGTTCAGTTGCTGAGTTGTAACAACAGCTACTGTTTATTGGACTTGTGTATTGTGTACTGGGCCTGGGCTAAGCACCTGGCATGTATGACTTCACTCAGTCCTGTCAAATAATCCTCCAAGCCACCTGTAGTGTCCCCATTTTACGAGATACAACTGAGGTTTAGGGATGTTAAGAAACTTACCCAAGGCACACAGCTATTAAGCAGTATATCTGGGACTCGACTCTAGGCTTAACCACCAGGCTGTACCCAGCATGCCCTAGGAGATGCTACCTCTAACAGTACCTTCCCAGGCCATGAAGAGGTCAGAGCATGGAAGACAATCTGCCATGGAAGGTCCTTCTCTGGGAGACACACAGAATTTTGATGAATGGTCAACACTCAGGGTGTTCCTCCAGCACACACCTTGAAGCCTCCAAGGGCACGTATCCATGAGCTCAGTTATGCAGGCACAGGGGGAATGTCCCTCGGGAGCAGGGCTGCCAGGTCTGGCCTGGGGAAGGCCCTGATATGGGCCTGGGTATGGGCAGGGGTGTCTGTGTGGGTGTAGCAAGGCCTGTGGAACCAGTATCTGCAGCCCCAGAGGTGGGGCTAAGTCAGGGGAGTGTCCCTCCCTCCTTCCCTGCCATTAGCTGGAAATGGGGCTCCCCTCCTCAGCCCCAGCCGGGAGCTGTCAGCTCTCAGGCTGACTGCATTCACACAACATTAAGCATTTCCATTACCTAAAATAATTAGGCAGCAGGAGACACGCTGCTCCTGCTTGTTAGCTGTCCGGATGCTAAATTAATGGGGCTACAGCCTGGGTGTGCCCATCCATCTTCTCCAATTATATTCCCACCATTTCTAGCCCACCCTCATTCTGCATCAGGCCCTCTGATTCCTGCCTCACCTTAGGCATAGCCTTCTGCATAGTGGACAGAGCACAGGAAACCTGAAACCTATTTGGTCCCCATCTTGCACGGTGACCTTGAGCAAATGGTTAAGGAGCTTCAGACTCCTAGGATACATTTCTTATGTCTCTATGACTGCCCCCCACCCCCATTTTTCACTTACACAACAGCTTCTGTCTCCTTGGGCAGGTAGGGGGATGTGCAGCCCAGAATCTCCCCAGGGGACAGAGGTTTGCACTGTGGTACACTCACATGATACTCAGCTTTCAGCTCCTGGGCAGCTGCCTGTAGGGAGTAACAAGGGAAAGAAAGGAACAGAGGACCAGCCTGCAGCACCTGGCGTGGGGACCCAGGAACAGCCTGGACTGGCTGCTATCTGTCCACTTACCTGCAAGGTTGACACAAACTGGATGGTGCTGACCAGGGCAAGGGCACTGGCTGGGGGAAAGGTGAGGCGGATAGAAGCCAGTAGGTGGGTAGTATCTATTCGGATATCCACAAAGACATACAGCACCCAGAAGTCTTGAGCCGAGGTGTCCATGGGAACTGGGAGGAGGGAGGGAAGCGTTCAGGAGACTTTGTTTTGGAAAGCGGGAGGGGCAGAGGACCTGGCCCAGGCCAAGGTCTCTGAGCAGCCAGGACCAGTGGTTTCAGGCTGGAGGTAGAAGGTGGGGAGGGGGCAGGTCACAAGTCCTTTAGAAGCTCTTCCTCTTGCACTCGGCCAGGGGCCCAGCCTGCTCTACCACCATCAGCCTTTCAAATACCCACATCTGGGACAGCAGCAAGGTTTCCAAGGCAACGAAATCCAAAGGAAAGATCCACCTGCAGAGCAGTAAGGCCGAGGCCATCCCAGAAACAAGGAGGACACTAGGATAGAGATCAGTGTACAGCCCTGCCTCCCTACTAGCACTTGTCCTTCAAGTAGGATAAGGCGGCACTGTGATGGAGATCAGTGTACAGTCCTGTCTCCCTACCAGCCCTGCCAGGTCCAGGTGTCCTGATCTGCCGTACCCAGGCAACTGTGGCCATAATGCACCAGGAAGTCAGCTCCCAGGGCCCTTGCAGTAAAGTCATCCACACAGCAAGCCCCATAGGTCACGTCACCCATCACCATCACTTCAGCTTCTGTGAACCTGTGGAGGTGGGAAACAATGGGATGGTGACACGAGGAGTGAGGTGGGAGAGAGACCTAACCCTATAGAGGTATCTCAGGGCCCAGCTCCTCTCTCACTACCTCTTCCAATCCCTTGGGTAGCAGCTGCCACTTCTGCCAACAAAGAGTAGGAAGAGCCCAGATGCCACCTCCTCCAGCCCTGGCAGCAGCTTCTGGAACTGTAGCTGTATGAGGATGGTATCTGCAGCACCCTGATTCTTCTGCCCAGGCTCAGACTGCAAGAGGGACCCCCAACTCTTAAGACTGGCGTACACAGGGTCAAACACAGACCCAGACCTCCAATGCTCTTACTCATCCCAACCAGAGCGGTGAGCAAGTACACATGTGCAAAGGCACCCACCCCTACGCCCTGGTACCGTTGGGTGCGTGGGCATGCATGTGTGGGTACACACAGCCTCCCTGACTCCCAGACCCCCTGCTACTTCCTCACCCTTAGTCAGGGCTCTCTGTGCCCAAGATTGGGGGACCCATGCACAGCTCTACAACAACAGCACATGGCACCGCCCACACACCTCATGTATCAGGAAGAGTGGGCTCTGGCCAGCACATTGCCATAGGATCTGCTGCCAGGCCTGAATCACTATGGGACGGGGGTGGGTAGGGAAGACCATGCACCCCCTGAACTCACTAGAGGCATGGAGCTAGAGGACCAGCTCTTCCCTGAGACCCACCCCTGCGGCATGTATCTTGGCTTAGTGATGGGTCTTCCCATTCCTCTCCTGGAGGTGTGGTGGGGAAAGCTGAGCTGCTGCCAGTCAGCCCCCATCCCCCTCCTCCTCCTTCCCCAAATCAGGCTGTGCACAGAAGCAGATTATTCAGTTCCTTAGAATGCAGCCCAGGCATCTGAGTCAGCCTGAGCACTTAATTTTTTATAGATTAAAATGTATGCAAATTGGCCCAAGCCCCAGAGAGCATCCCCAAGGGGCAAGAGGGTGGCAGCTGATGAGGAGTAGGGTGGGGGAGGGCAGCAGCAGGGAAATGGGAGGTTCCCATCACCAGATGACCTCCCCTTCCTCCATTCCCCCTCCCTGTCCCTGTGCCCATTCCAGATGGCTGAGCACTCAACTCCCACTCCCAAGGATGGCTCATTGTATTGCAGAAACTTAAACGGATGGGGAGAGGAACTGAATACCATCGCCTAAGCACGTCTCCCCCTGCCAAGCCCCTCATTGCCCTATTACTCCAGATGAGACAGAAAAAGGGGTTCCTCACGCTGACTACTCAGCACATTCAAGGGTTAGCTCTGAGGATTCTGAGGTTCCTCCTCAGGTCCCACCACCTGCTCTGTCTTAATTTTGGGTTTTTCTCTCTGTGTGTGTATCATTATGGGAAAGGGCAGGGTAAGGCAGAGGTCCAGAAGGAAAAAATGATGACAACAGGCAGAGCTGTGATGGGCATGGGGAAGGTCTTGGCTCAGCTCCCTCTCCAGTGCCCCAAGCCTCACCTTTCCAAGATATCCACAATGGTGCAGGCAAAGAGAAGGAGGCCTTCCGGCATTTGCAAGGCCACTGCAAGACAGAGCAGACACATAAGAGCAGAGGGCTGGGAAGAGGCTGGAATGGGGACACTGCCCCTAACTAGGCCAGGCAACCTCTCCACCCCCAACCTCAGTCAAAGCTTGGGGACTCACCCTTTTTGGCTTGGGCCTGCTGGATCCTCCAGATGGTCTTGGGGATCTCAAAGTTATAATTGGAAGGCAGGACTTGAATGGCTGCCTGCAGCTGAGGGTTGTTCAGGATCTCAGGGGGGATCTGGTTGGCCATGCGGCCCAGAGGGGCTCCACCTAGGATGAATGTAAGGCCTGAGTCGGGACCTGGCTGAAACCATAGCCAGACCTAGCTAAGATGTTAACTCCACCCAAGTTTCCGGCCCAGATCCCAGATCCCAAAGGGGTTGGCCCAGCCTTCTTCCCTGAGTTCATCATGAAGCTGGAAAGACAACTCAGTAAACCAGGAGGAAATATGCATAATTATTTTCCATGTTGTGAGATTGAGCCCATGAATGGGGCATGTTTCATCTCTTACCTCAGCACAGCAGAAGTGACACCAGGGAACTGAATTAAGGGTCAAACAGTAAAAAAAAAAATCTATACAACTGCTCCTTGATAGAGAACAATCCTAAGGAAAATCCAGGAGCCAAGCCAGCCCAAGTATTCTAGGAAAATGTTCCTCTTCCCCCCAGCCCGAGAACACCTTGAAGTTCTGAGGTCCTATATAAGGGCTCTATAAGCAAAATGTTCTAAGTACTCATTTAAAAGACTGCCTTCCTTCCTTGAGTCCCACTGATTATGTCTACACTGGTTAATTCCTGCACTCTTCCCTCTCCTCATTTAAAAGGGAAATAAACACCATACACTTAACTGACTTAACAATTCCCTAATCCCATTGTTCCACCCACCTCTCACCTCAGGAAGGATGGAAAGAACACATGCTAGTCAGGACTGTGGGCAAACAGGTGGACAGAAAAGTGACCTTGCCTTTTAGGGGCTAGTAGTCTAGTGGGGGCAAATACAAATAATTACAATCCCCTGATTAAAGGAGAAAACAGGGGCAGCAGGGGAGCTCAGTTGGTTAAAGCGTGAGCTCTGAGCAACAGGGTTGTCAGTTGCATGGGGTGGTGGGGCTGCTTCCCCCGCAACTAGATTGAAAACGGCGACTGGACTTGGAGCTGAGCTGTGCCCACCACAACTAAGATTGAAGGACAACTTGACTTGGAGCTGATGGGTCCTGGGAAAAACTGTTTCCCAATAAAGTTAAATAAGTAAATAAGAAAACATTGTAGCTCTTTGGCAAAACTGCAGCCCTTAATCTGCACCCTACTCCCTACAATTCAGTTTAGCTCAACCCCCATTTATCTCTTTAGAAGCCAACTTGGAAATGTGACAAGGCAAGAAATTAACTTATTCAATGAATGTTTACTGAACTTGTACTATGTGCCAGAACTTCTGCTAGGGTCCCTTACTAGGATAGCTACGATCCTCAGACCTGATCCTTCACCCTGTGTGGGGGATTGGTGGTGGGTGGTGGTGGTGGTTGGTGATGGTGCAGTGGAGAACTAGCATGGCAGGCTGGGACCCTGATAACAGATTTGAATGTTCCCATGCTATGGTTTTGTTCAGTTGTTTCAAAGGTCTTGGAACAACCAGCCCAGTGTCTCTGGGCCCCTCACAGAAGCTCCTCTGACAGGCCCAAGTCCCTTGTGGTTGTTGGGATGTAGGAGCTGTTAGTCTTAGCAACTCAATTTGTCCCAAGGAGGCTAACAGAAGCCTCCTCCTTTATTATGTTGGCCGTAAGCTGTTTATGTCAGTATTCCCGGGAAGGCTGTGAGATCCCTGAGGACAGGGCTGTAGTCTGGTCCCAGCACCTTGCACAGGCGTGGTATTCAGTGGGCGCTCAGTAGGTGCCTGGTGACCGAAACTACCGGAAAGCATTGCTTGAGGGCCCACTTGTGGAATGCCCTCTGCAACGCGCCTGGCTCCTTCCCTCCCCGTCAGGTCCGTCTTTTCCGTGAGTCTACAGGCGTCTGTCAGCCGCCCAACAAAGGAGGCAGCGTTTCCGGCTTAAGGACTACAAGCTCCTAGGAGGGGCTGTAAGGCTACAAAAGAAAGACCGGTCCCTCTGGGCTCCGGTGACAGCCGCCCAGAACGAGTGACGGCGGGACCTTCCAGGTCTGGCGGAGAAAGGGGGCTGGCTGGCCTTTTCCCTGACTTGGGGGCCCTACCCCGAAATGCGATGTCCGGAGGGCTCAACGTTGTAGCACCCACCTCTGCCAGGGCGTTTTCGGCCCCCGGGCTCCGCCGCCTTGGGTGCAACCAGCGCCGCCATCGCCGCCCTGCCCACGTGGGGACCAAAAAGACAGCGCTAGAAGAACGCGGAGAGCACAGACCTTGCGATCGATTGCCGATCGGCCAGCGAGGGGCGGGGATTTGCTGGGCGGGGACCGTGAAGGAGAATATAGGGGAGGGGCTATTGTGGGCCCATCTCAGCCCGCAAGGTCGGGGCTCGCGGGAGCCCCTAGTGGTCCCCGACCACTGCGGTTGCACTCTCCCCGCGACCCTATCCCCACTCCCTCCCGGTCCCGGTCGGCTCGAACCTGGCAACAGAGCTCCCCTATCTGCCGACTCCCTGTCCGACTTTTGTGGGCCGAGTCTTGTGAATGGGGACATCACCAGGGCTTCCTTCTGCTCCTTTCCCTGTTTCCCCTGGTAAGCAGTGGACGCGTGTGGGTGGGGTCACATTCCCGACCTCGGAGGACCCCACTGCCCCTACAGGACAGAACTCCGCGCCCACCAGCCGAGCTCAAATTGAGTCTTGGTGCCCATTTCCGGAGAGCCAGATTGCCCTTATCACCTTTAGAACCCACAGTATGGAAGGTTCACCTGTGAAAAATTGCTAGGGAAAGCCCTGAGCCCTAGGGCGCTTTCCTGTTAGGGTGGGGCAGTCCAAGGACTCAGATTGCCTAAACCTCCTGGATTCTGGCCAACGTTTTTCCCGCCAGGCTGCCTGCCCCCTCCGGCCTAGGATAGCCTTTCTCCTGATGAGTGGCCTGAGCTCCTGGGGACCCCAAAGGTAGGAAGGCAGAGCAGCCAGTGAGACAACCTTGACCTCTGGAAGAGCAAAGTACCTGCCTTCAGCAAGGTCTGCCCCGTAGAACAACGGTCCCCAGGGCCATTTGCCCACCCAGCCCTCTGGCACCGTCTTTCTCTCCCTGTAGTGGTGTTGTGAGCACAGCTGGCCCTTTAAGGCATCTCTGTGGCCTCAGGCTCCCCTGGAGGCCCTCCTAGCTTGGAAACTCCTAATTAAGGTGCTGAGAGAAATGAAAAACAAGCAGAGAGGGACTGGCCCTGCCTGGGAGACTGCCCAGAGAGGAGGGATGGCTGGGCAGGCTGAGAATGAGCAGCCAAGGGGAGGACCAGAAGGGGTCAGGTCTCTGTCCCTCAGGCCACTGACCCAAACTCTTAGGACAGTCACAGCTTTGGACAGGAGTGTGGCCATGGGTCCCAGGAACACCCCTCTCACCTTGATGAGAGTCCAGCCTGGACTGTCCCATCTTCCCCAGGTTCTCTGGACCTCCAGGGTTCAGGATATCAATTCTAGACATCCCCTGAGTCCAGCCCCTCCCCATTCACAACACTAAGGCCCAGTCTGTGGGCAGCTTTAGCTCCAGCTGCAGCTGTAAATTTTAAGGTGGGGGGAAGATTGGCTCCAGCAATGGCTTCTCCCTACCAGGTACTCTGCCCCTTAGGGCCTTTTCCTAGGCAGAGGTGGGGCCCTTTGATGATGGGAGGCCCACTCCTTTTTAACACTGCCTCATAGCCTCTGTGCTGAATGAGCTGCCCTGGCCCGCTTTAGGAAACCAGGTGATGTCCAGGAGGACTAGATATAAAGGACCGATATGAGTGAGCATGTCCCCCAAGACCATGCAATGCAAAACTTTGGAGGCTGCCATTCAAGTTGGTCCAAGAACACCTCCATCTGTCTGTGGGGGTCTCCCTGCCTGAGTTATTCAGCAGTCTGAGTAATTACTGCCTGACAAGAGGGCGGGCACAGTGCACCCCCACATTATACTACAAAACCTGCCTACAATCACCCCCACCCCTGGCTGGACTCCAAAGTAGCACCCAGCCCTCCTGAGGCCTGAAATAACTGCTTTTCACACTCACGCCCAGCTCCAGCCAACTTTGCCTAAGATGCTGGAGTTTGTGGGGCAGGGGGATCATGGGGAGGCGGCTTGGGGAGGTGGCAGGAGTAGTAACATACCCTGATTCAGGCCCACAGTTTGGCACTGATCTGCGGTATGATACTGAGCAAGTTGTTCAACCTCCCCGGGCCTCAGTTTATTTGTGGAGGGCCTCTGCAAGCTCTCAGTGTCATCAAGTTCAGCTTTAGTGTCAGCCTGGCAAGGGTCAGGCAGGGTGTGGGGTCAGGGGTCAGCCCAGCCCTGCAGCTGGTCAAGGCTAAGAGAAAGAATGTCTTACCTTCTGTTTCCACCCCAAGATGAACCAATCGTCTTAATTTTCAGAACAAACTTACTTTCTCACCTCCAAGCATTTGCACCTTCTCTCCTGCCTGGAATGACCTTTCCCCTTTTCCGCCTGATGAACTCAGCCCTCAAGACCTAACCCAAATGGCAACTCTTCTGTGAAGGCTTCCCTGATGGTCCTTCATCCCCTACAGAGCTAGCAGAGACCCCTCCTACACTTCCTATCGCCTCCTGTCACATTCTAAGATGGATTGTGGGCCTTTCTTCTCCATCTATGCCATCAGCTTCTGGAAATCTAAGCCTATATACTGTTAGCTCACACCCGAGCCTCAGTGCGCTGAATACATATATGAGTAAATGAATGATTCTGGCTTTTTTGACCTTCCTAACATGCCAAGTTTTCCTCGGAGGAATTACACAACTCATTCTCTGAACTTCAACTAGATCTCTGCTTAGATGTCACCTGCTCAGAGCAGCTTTCCTGGGCCCCCTCATGTCAGCTCCAGAACAATACCCTGTTTGCTTTTCTTCCAAGCACCATCTCTTCTAGACTTTCCTCATTGGGTCCCCATTAGACTGTGAATTCCACAAAGGCAGGGAGGGACCTTGTCTTTTTCATTGGCTGAGTCCCCGGGAATAATAGTGCCCACACACACATGACAGACCCTCAATAAATGCGTGTTGAATGAGACTTAACACACTTTTTCCTCTCCCAGGACCCCTCTTATCCCAGGCCAGTAGGGGGTGCCGGTCTCCACCCAGGATCTTGGCCAGCCCGAACCTTCTCTACCCTCAGACCAACTTGCCCCCTGCGGGACCAGCTTTCTAGGCGGTGCCTCCTCCATTTTCTACAAAGCCCCGGGCGGGGTCTATGTAGACTGAGGGAAATCATAGGCCCCCTAGGCGAAGATAGCCCACCTGAGCCCCCACATTGGTTCTTCCTTCTCTCTAGAATTAGCAACTGGGCCTCCGTAATGCTTGCTGCAAAGGTCTAGACCAGCCTGGGGCACGTTACCCGTCCTCCCAAAAAGAATTATGTCCTGGGACGCAGGACGCGAGGCGGCTGGGTCCGCGGGAGCTATGCTGGGCAGGGAGGAGCCGTCGAGCCTCCAAGGAGGAAGCGGAGCAGGCCAAAGAAGAGATGGACAGGGGTGCGGACTTGTGATGGGGGGGCGGGGGGTGCGCTCTGGGCGGCAGTCGTCTCATCCCAGCCGGTTGGCAGAGCGCACGCTTCCAGCCGCCTGGCTGGGTGACCTCCATCCACGAAGGGCGAGCGGGCGGGGGTTGGGCTGCGGGTGCGAGCTCCGGGAAGCCCACGGGGCCCGGGAGGGGCTTTCAAGTGGTCCGACGACCCGCCCGGGGGCTAGGGCAGGTACTTGGACGGACGCGGGCCGAGGATCGTCCCCGGGGGCGGGCGCAGCGAAAACACCTTGGGAGGCGGCGCCGCGCGGCTGAGCGCTGCTGCCCTGGGAATAGGACCGCGCTCCGCACCGCGAGCTGAGAGCACTTTCATAAATTTTGTATGGGAGGCGCTCCATGAGCGGGGGCGGGGAGCAGAGCGAGGGGGAGGGAGCTAGCGAGCGAAGGAGGGAGGGAGGGAGGAAGGGAGGTGGGGGAAGCCGGGGGGAGGAAGGGAGGCGCCCCGCTCCGCCGATCTCTCGGTCCTGCAAACGCGCGCTGGGCGCTTTCCCCGGAGCTCCGCGGTGCGTGCGAGCGCCCTTTTGCAGCAGCCGCGGCGGCGGCGGTCGGAGGGGGCGGAAAGGAGAGGGCAGCGGCCGGGGGGCGGCGTCCCTCCCTCAAAACCGCCTGCAAAGTGCTCTGGGCTGCAGAAGCAGGCCTCCGGCTTCGCGGAGCAAGCCGCTCAACCCGGGGCTGAGCGAGCGCGCGGGGCTGCCCGGCAGCGCCGCGGTTGCTGGTGGGCTCCGGTGCCCTCCGCGCGGGGCTCGGGCTCACCATGCCCCTGCGGGGCCGGGCCGCCGGGCACAAGCGGATCCCCGGCTTGCCCCCGCCTCGACGCGCTCGGATTAGCTGCAGCCGGCTCCCAAGGATTTGATTCCAGACCCCGGGAGAGAGCGCGCCTAGGCCGACCTCGGAGTGGCGGCCCCGCGGCCAACATGCTTCGCAAAGGTGAGTTGGAGCCGCAGGGGCAAGTTGGAGTTGGATGCGCATGGGGCAGAGCCGCGAACCCTCGAGCCGCTCGAGAACTGCCCGGCTCCGGGCTCCGGCTCGGGAAGCAGCCCCTGGCGGGCTGGCGGGCTTTCCCCGGACGCACCCACAAAGGGGTTGCTGCTGGAGCTCAGCCCCCGTTAGTAGCCGGTTGTGAGACACGGGATTAGCTCCGTGGATCTAGCAGCCTGGCCTAGGGATCTGGCACAACGAGGTCATTTGGAGACCATAGTGAGCTGCCCGTGATGGCAGGGGAGCTGGCCTCCTGGGACCTATGCTTTGCCACTATAAAGTTTTGCACTTGCAGGCTTCATCCCCTGCGCGGGCACACGCCACCAGCTTCTGCCGCTTTGGCGGGGCAGGGTCCAATCCGCGCTCCAGTGCAGCCAGCGGTCAGTCACCGCGCGGCCCGGGCATTCACTGCGCGCCCTAGCTTCCCAGGTGGGACCGGGACGCGGGCACCTTCCCTGCAGCCCTGCTTTGGTCTCGAGGGACGGGCCCTGGGCACCCAGCAGCCGAGGGGATGGCTAGCGCCTGATGTCCGGTTTCTCAAACTTTCCCTATGCTGGAGCCAAGGGATGCGAAGGCTGATGAGGCTGTGCCGGCAGCATGTGCTGCCGGTGTCAGGCTCAACTTGAGAAAATCTGGC